GTTTGAGTATTCTTTTTTGAACATGGCTTGAACTTTTCATTTTTATGATATAATTTTTTCGAATATCACTTACTTTTTAGAGTACAAATATATCACAAATATATATAAAAAAAATGATTTAAAAATATTATATAACGAAAGAGAGTAAAATACGGCGAAAGAGAGGGGTGGTGGGATGGGTGGTGAGGGAGGGGGAGGGGAGAGGGAAGGGGGTGCGGTAAGTCGAAGATGATAAAGGTGTGAGTGAAAGGTGAGAGAAGATGTTATAGAAAGTTTTAATACGGCCTTGAATATAGACAGAGAAGAAGGAGAAGGAGATGTTTTTTCATCATTTATGAAAAATTAAGAAACGTTTTTGACCCCTTGTATCTTCAGAACGGCTTGACCGATTTAAAGTTTTTTTTGGCTCGAATTACTCGTGTCGATGCCGCCTTTCAAGAAATATAACGTTCATTCAAAATTTTTTTAATTTTAGTAGTTATGCACCCCCCGAAAAATGGACTTTGGTGGCTTGGAATAAGAGACTTGTAGTGTCTTTCAATTTTTCGACATGGCCGGAGACACTACCGCATCTGCAGCAAAGTCAAACGGTAGCACTGTAAATTCGTAGATAATTCCTTGCCACTGAAATCTAAGATATTTCCTGCAAGAAGGATAAATAGGTAACAAAAAATAAGCATCCTCTAGATCAAGAGAAGCCATCTCAATGTTAGGGAGCATGAGGCGTATAATTGTTTGCCAGTTCTCCAATATAAAATAAGGAGAGAGTATATAAGTATTAGCCTTTTAGATCTCAGTCTAGCCGGCTCGGCTGAATCGACTAGTCGAGCGCGAGACATCATTGGTAATTTAGATGTTCTCTGTTTTTGGGGTCAATGCATTTAAGCAATTTACTCGGGGATTGGAGATCAAGTTGTGCGGTTAAGATTCATCATTGGGAAGTACAGGATAGTTATTCGGAAGGATAATTTTGAACTCGGTGCCAAAAAGCTTACGGAGCTTATAGGCGAGTCTACGTGGATCAGCTTTTTGAATATCTTTGTAATCAGGGAACGAAAAGTTAATCTCCAATGGTTGAAGTGAAATGCTTTCGCAAGGCGAGCCTACCGGTTTATTTCGATTTAATAGTTGCGCCAATTTCTGGAAATAGGAGAAAGAATCATGGTTTGAATTAAGAGCTGATTTGATTTGAAACCTCAATCTCTTTTCTTGTTGTCTACGTCCGCAATGTATGTTCACTTTGTACTGGCACCTTTAATTAATAATATATCAGTTACTTTTCATGGTAATATATTATTATTAGATAAAAAGATCTTAATGTTTGAGTATTCTTTTTTGAACATGGCTTGAACTTTTCATTTTTATGATATAATTTTTTCGAATATCACTTACTTTTTAGAGTACAAATATATCACAAATATATATAAAAAAAATGATTTAAAAATATTATATAACGAAAGAGAGTAAAATACGGCGAAAGAGAGGGGTGGTGGGATGGGTGGTGAGGGAGGGGGAGGGGAGAGGGAAGGGGGTGCGGTAAGTCGAAGATGATAAAGGTGTGAGTGAAAGGTGAGAGAAGATGTTATAGAAAGTTTTAATACGGCCTTGAATATAGACAGAGAAGAAGGAGAAGGAGATGTTTTTTCATCATTTATGAAAAATTAAGAAACGTTTTTGACCCCTTGTATCTTCAGAACGGCTTGACCGATTTAAAGTTTTTTTTGGCTCGAATTACTCGTGTCGATGCCGCCTTTCAAGAAATATAACGTTCATTCAAAATTTTTTTAATTTTAGTAGTTATGCACCCCCCGAAAAATGGACTTTGGTGGCTTGGAATAAGAGACTTGTAGTGTCTTTCAATTTTTCGACATGGCCGGAGACACTACCGCATCTGCAGCAAAGTCAAACGGTAGCACTGTAAATTCGTAGATAATTCCTTGCCACTGAAATCTAAGATATTTCCTGCAAGAAGGATAAATAGGTAACAAAAAATAAGCATCCTCTAGATCAAGAGAAGCCATCTCAATGTTAGGGAGCATGAGGCGTATAATTGTTTGCCAGTTCTCCAATATAAAATAAGGAGAGAGTATATAAGTATTAGCCTTTTAGATCTCAGTCTAGCCGGCTCGGCTGAATCGACTAGTCGAGCGCGAGACATCATTGGTTCACGTGACTCTATCGATGCGCATGCGCACGAAAAGCGGCCCGTATACCATCACTAATTGTAAGCACCAGCGCTACGGGCCGCTTAGCGTACCACGGCGCGTGGGAAAAAAAATGGTTTTTCCCTAGTCTTTAAAATCTGTTGGCTAAACGTGCACAGACGCACGACCATACTTATTTCTCCATCCGAACGAGACTTTAGACATAATTTCTGTTATATCTTACTTTGCATGAGATTACTTGTTTTTTTAATTTTCTATTATCAGATAAAACTTATATTTACTTATATTTAAATTTAATGTGAAATTGTATTTAATTTAAAATGAAGTGTACTTGTAATGTGAGAACTGTGGAAAATTACCATTTTATATTTTTCATAGTAATTTGTTACAACATTAAATTAGTTAAAGAGAAGTAGCGTTTTGAGCATTTCTGTAATTGCGCGAGTATGGATTACTTTTTTATATACAAACGGCTAGCTAACTAAAACTATTTTATGTTTAGAGCGTCGCGTTTGTTGTCGAAGCGCGTAAAGAGACTAATCAATAATTCATGATGATATAATAGAGCACCTTCGGTCTATCCACCCCGGCGGCGTTGAAACGCGGCTCTTCAATTCTACGTTACGTTACTTGAGTAATTACTGCCACAATTTCAGTCCAACGCGGCACTTAGACTAATTAAGAGTAGAGCTTCCATCACGTTGCTTTGCTGTCTTTGCACGCGACGGAGAACAGTTAGTTAAAAGCTTCTTTTATATTCTTCTTGGCGTAGATGATAGAACGTAAGACCGTGAAATGTAGCCCACGAGATATTACAGGTTTACGCGTACGCGTATCCTATATAAACTTCTAAAAGTTGGTTGTAGCAGACTATCTTGATTCACTAAGTCTTGGCTGATTTTCCCATCTTTCTTTCAATCACTTAGCCATAATAAATAACGAAATAAGAAGTTGATTACAGAAGAAATTGTTCTTCTTTTAGGAGAGAATATATCTTGTTTAGAAAAATTGTGTATTTTATTTTAAAAAATTATACATCTTTTTTAGTGATATATTTTTTTTCAAAATTATAAATTCAATTTTTATTTATTCAATTAAAAAAACGTACAAATTCGTAATATTTAGAAGTTGTTTTTTTCTAATCTTCTGATTAAAAGTCAATTCCAAATTGGTAAAGTTGTCATTACAATAACATGAGCTACTTATTCAGAGATTGCTCCCTTATTATTTTAAAAATAAGATATAAGTAAAAATAGTAATTTTTGAGTTATTACCATAAATGTGTTAAATAAATATTACTATCATAAAGATAAATTAACTTAATTTCATTAAAAAATTATCATAACTCAAAACATTGTCATAACTCAAAAAGAATATTTTTCTTTAAATCTTCAAAACCATCACTATTATAAAAAAAAAAAAAAAAAAGATCGTTTTCAGAGTTGTGAAACAAAAGTAACACAGCAATAATATTTAATTTATACAATAACATATTAAGAATATATTTTTTTGATCAATATATTATTTAATTAATTTCAATAATTTTCTGTCAAATTAAAAAACAGTTTTTCTCTTTTCTGAAAAGCTTAATTTTTTCAGTTGTATAACTTTTAATATAAGGGAATATGTACTGTGTAATAATGTTAAACATAAAAAAAACAAAATTTAATTTCATAACTACCTGAAAACTAGAAATTCCGCATTCTCTAACCTCAAGGTTTAAGAGACCCAATCTCGAGCCGACTGTTGGAAAGAGAGATTCTAATATTATTTTTGGTTTACGCTACAGGTAACACAGCATCTATTCTGTTCAACACAAAATACTCGCAGGAAAAGTATCTCGGCTGGGACGGCCCCTATGAATTAAACATTGCGCATGTCGTTGGGCTCTGGCACGAACAAGATTCGCAAATTCATTTCTGTTCACTCGGCACGCGTATACAGCCATATTCGAAAGATAGGAGAATGTGCCGTAATTCCGAGAGTTCATAAATTTCAGAACAAAGCTTTTCAGCTTCGAGAAATCACAAACGCTAACTGTTTTACGCGTTCGACGATATGACAGTCGGCAAATCGGATTAATCGTATCGAAACAATCACGATGCGTAATCGACTGTTCCACTAATAATTGATATCGCTTTCGTAACACGAATTTGAATTTACTCAGCTATTGCGACTAACAGGCAATATTTTAACATGAAAATTGTATTTCTGCGTTAATCCATTGTTCTCCAAGTTAAGTAAGGCTATTATTGTCTACGCTAAATAAAGTCATTGTTATATTGTATATAAACTTTATATCTTGTGTTTACAATTAAATATACGAGATCATTATTCATAACTAATTCAAGATTCGAGAATCTATTTTATCATCACCAAAATTCAAAATAGAAATTAAACAAATCCTAATTAAATATTATTTCAAGAAAACTTTTTTTGTATATATTTTTTATACATACTATAGCTCTAACAATTATATTTGTTAGTATTCTCTAACAATATACTATTTATTATTATTCATTTGCTAATCGTCATTTGTTATTCGTCTTGCGATAAATACGGGTTGCTTAAAATTTAGTTGTTCGAACAACACAATTTTCAAGTAATAAAGTAAGAAAACTTTTGTTAGTCACATCTCAATAAATAGTTTATTTTTCTCAGCTACATGTGCTTAAGAAGGCTATTTACGGTCCTGATTTGGGATGGAGCTAAGATTATCTATATTGTTACATTTGGTCCCGAGCGTGTGAATATAAAGAGGTTCTACTGTATTAAGAATAAGAAATTTATAATCTCAGATCGAAATTCAAGATGGATATTTTCTTTCTTTTTTAGGACCATGAGCATGCGGACGTGCTGACGGTGGGTTTCAATGTGGACGGTGTTGAACGTGTTCTCGACCTTCGACTGAACACCGATTTAATTCCAGTTGGCTATCAGCAACTTCACCAACATCGCGGCACGTACAAAGTGCACACCCCGTCGAAAGTTGTAAGTACCACTTGGGCATCCAGTATTCACATCCGTAGCGGCTAACCGTTTTTCCGCAAACAACGTTTGCGCTAATCGATATCGAAGCAAACGTAATGCTATCGGATACCAGCACCAATCTAGAAAAGTATCGAGATTTATTCAACTTGATCCCGTGCTCGGCCATTCATTCGTGACTCATTATCGAAAGACACAAAGAACGGCATTATCGCTGTTTAATGGTATAATATGCGACGTGAAATTTACGATACAACTATTGACTCTCCATAAAAAAAGAGATAATCGCTACAATTTTTCTCAACAATTATTACGAATGATAAAGAATTGTTTTATTAGATATTATTTTATTACTTTATATATGTTGTATTTAATGATTTACTTTGCGATGAAAATATTAAAAATTGTACACATCGGCTATTAATCTAATAATTATATAGAACCTTTGAACACTGATATCGATACATAAACTTTACATACAAAATATAAATTACTCAGAATATCTTATTTCCTTGTAAAAATAACTTATTCTTAACGTAGATAATATTAAATTTCATATGTTTTACATTATTAATGACAAAATACTTAGGGGAGAGTGGTCTAAATCGGACCTATTTGCAATTTTTGTTCTCTATGAGGCGTAAATAAAGTCCTATCATAAAACCAATGGTGCCGTTCGAAAGATCATTTAATTTCCTTCATTTTTGCTTCAGATCATTTTGACATATCTCTTACCTATGTCGAACTAAAATGGAAAATGTAAAAATGCATTTTCCGGTGTGATTTGGAACCATAAGTTTTTATGGACTTTTAGGTAAAATTTTAAAATATTTTAACTAATTTTTATTAGTATTGAATAAAAACGAGCAATTTACGACTCAAAGATAAAATTATAGTTTATATTATTAGAAATAAAATCAATAAAAAAAGTTCCACTAATCTGAGTCTGATATTTTATTGATTTAGTGTTCCTTAGACCAGATCTGGTTAATCGATCACCAGTACTACAATCAGGTTGTGGCAAACCTTCTTTCTTCGATGAATTAACTGGCTTACTCGTCCTTTTAGTGTTTTTTGTATAGATCCGATTTGGACACCTAAAGAGAAGTCCGATTTGAACATGGATTTTTTCGAATTATTAGAACAAATTTTATAATAAACCGCAAAAATAATCACAAAACTCTTGATATTTTTGAGAATTTTACACTCTTTCATTATCTCAAATCAATTACCGTTCAAATTTTGAACATCTTTTAAATAATGATTTACAAGGATTTTTTTTTATTTCTGCATGATAGCCAAAAATACATATTTGCATCTATTCTATGAACGCTATAACAGAGTATTGCCAAATTGTTGTCACATGTTCGGTGTCTCATAAGGACTTTACATTATAAATAGCACGCAAATCTGCTTAACGGTATTTATTTAAATTAAAAAGATCCTATTTGGAACATGTACTGATTTAGGACATTTTCCCCTATAATCTAGACTTTTGTCAACACAAATATAACTTAATTATTAATTTAAAATGAAAGAAGAATACGAACACATTATCAAAATCAATCTTGAAACGATATGTAGTTCAAAACTCCTCATAACTCACTAATAAAACTAATAAAATATGTACTAACACACAGGACTACTTAAAAAATATATTTTAATATTAATCTCTTTTCTAATACTGACTACCAGAGAATTTAAACTGATATTATATAACAGACTAAATTTTTTTAAGAACTTGCCTCCGCTTGTCCTGACTTTTAGCAGAACAGATTAGACCTTCTAATAATCACAGTGTAGTGCTCAATGACCTCACTCACTTGTATGTAAAAATATGATATATTAATAGCGTTCTATGATCAAAATAATCTTTTACGTATCACTTAAAAATATGGAAAAGATTATTTTATCGTCGATGAAGATGGTCGATAAAAATGATAAGAAACAAGTGTGAAGATGGCATCTGTATCTCTTTTTATTCAATTAATTACTATTTTAGAAATAGAAAAAAATTGAATGTTCTTTCTCTTATTTTTATTAATCGCATTTGTTATATTATTTAAATATGGATAGCGCCAGTGCTTTACGCCCTTGATGTCGCTGAAAAAAAATAGTTAAAGTTTATTTATTTGTTAATATGTTTTTTATTCATTTGTTTTTTGTGTTTGTCCTTTGTCTTTACAAGTTTTCGATTATTTCTAGCAAATTGATATCATAACAATTCTACAAATTGACTTATCTATAGAACTATAGATTTTATGATATATCCATGTAAAGAAGGTCGTTACTCATAATTTAATTTTAATTCAACTCTAAATAATCACATTGTATTAATATACTTACTTGCTATAATACTACCATATTGCATGTTACCAATAGCAACCTTCGCAATAGAATTGACCAACATTGAAGAACTCTAGAAACGATGTTTTATTCAACCAGGTCAACAAAGAGATGCTAGGCAAAGGAGAAATAGCATATTATGATAAAAAAATATTTAAGCGAAGAATCCATTTCTTTTTCGATAGCTCGACAAATAGATTTGTGAGAAAATTTATTTAATTTTACGCTCTCGATCCGTGCTTCCGGTCCCACGAAAATTAAAAACTTCGCGTAGGGTGTCGGTACCCTTTCGTCATATTTATTTGCCGTCATCGCGCGGACGGAAAAGGTATAGGTAGGCCCTGTGCAGGTATAATACGCGACTCGGTCGAAATCGATCGAGGTGACTCACTCTGTCTGCCGTCTGCATGTTTAATAGAACGTCTCGCTATAAACACACGCAAATTTGTAGCGGCGTGTTGGTCCCAAGCGAATGGTAGGCGTACGACCCCACGTTAAAAACAAAACGTGCATGAGCGGTAGTCGCGGCATTTCCGCTTTATAATTCAAATGCCGTGGCGGAAAAGAAAGGCAGGAAGAACAAAGAAAAAAAGAAGAAAGCTGATGGAACACCTAGAATACGTTAAATTACAATTATTGCGCGACGTGTCTGCAGAGTGTATCGCGAGGATTGCCTTGGAAATTGCTTCTGCTAAACGTCTAATTCCACTATCATAACGTTTCTGTAGATAATCGAGTTGCTAGTAAAATGGTAAAATAGTAAAATATACAATATAAAGATATACGAAGGAGGAAAAATAAAAAGCAATTCAATATTTTGATCACGGAATGGAAGTAACTCGTTACTTGTAACGAAGTTACAGTTACAAGTTACTTTTTTTGGTAATTTAACTGCGTTACTTTCTTTTTTTTGGTAATTGTAACGGTAATGTAGTTACATTTTTTAAATAACAGTAACGAAATTTACAGTTACTTTTATCGTTACTTTGCATACGATTGGACACGTTATTCAATTATATAACAATTACATGTTATTACTTACGACAGCTATAAATGTGGTTGTAGGACATTGAGTGTTTTTATTTCATACAGGCGTATAAGCTATATTTAGTTTAACTTAATCTAAACATCATACACATTTTGTTCTAATTGAGCTGTGTACCGGTAGAAATGCTGTCCCTCGGCGTTCGGCATGCAGCGTACACGTAATGCTGTAATTATGCATAACAATTTTTAACAATATTAAAAATTTTTATGCATAATTACAATATATTAGATTACTACAATATATATAATATATAAATTACAATATATATCACAATATATAAACACAATACATAGTGTCAGTATTATACATGCTATATACATACATATATATTCGCTTTCGAAACTTTCGCTTTCGTTTTCGCTTTCGCATCTAATTATGCGAAAGTTTTAATGAAAAATTTTGTCCGGCCCGCGGAATTCGCAGCTTCATCGAGGGAACATTAGATGGTGGGAAAGGAGTTTACATTTCATTCGTTGGTTTGCCAATCTAAATAAGCTAATAAGTAATACTTATTCTTATTAAGTATATAATATAATAGTATAACTAATTCTGAGAACAATTTTATTTTATGTTGACTTAATAAAAAATATATTGAGTTATTTTACTTAAAGTTATGAGTCAGTTTATTTTATGTATTTTATGTATTTACGAGTTGTAACACAAGATTCAAGAATAAGAATATATTTTATTAAAGATATTTTTATATTATATAATTATAATTAATGTATTTTGTATTTTATTTGATTATTTAATTTAAAATAAATAAGTCGTTCATATGCAAATACTAATTTACACATTTGCATTCATCTCTCTCAATCCATCATTCAATAATTTGAATAGAAATTAGTAATATTTTTTAAATATTATATATTATTTTTCGAGACTCTGTCTAATTGTGGCTGCTGATTTAATCATTCAGCAGAAAAAAAAGATCTTTCGCATTCGCATTCGCTTTCGCTATAACTACTTTCGTTACATCCCTAATATATGTATATATTACTTTTATTAATGTTTAAACAAAAATACTGCAAAAGTACAAAACAAATTAACAAACATAAATTAAAAGGCTATAAAGAGTCGAACGTAGTTAACAATGCAAAAAAAGTTTTAATAATCTTACAATTAACATGAAGATAACCAGTCGAACGTTATTGAGAAAGTAGAGTAGGAGAACCAGCAATTAAAATGAAGATTTGGTAGGATTTAAATGCAGTCTGTGGTACATACGGGATCGGAGGATCGATGAGGTCCACAAATAATCGAACCAATTATACATATAAACGGCTCTTTATTCAGCTCTATACATAAGACGTGAAAGTGTGTAATTAATTGAACGTAATTAGATAGATGCGCTGGGTAGTCAGCTTAATTTGTGAAAGAACTTTTAGCCTGTTGGCACCGATGTGTGTGTTGTGTGTAAGTGTTATTCTTCCGAGGAATCCGTCCCGAAGAGTTCCTGCAGCCTCTGCTTCTTCCTCTTCCTGTGCTGCCCTGGAATTCGCGAGCGCTTCCGCGGTGTCTTCGACACCGGGCTGATCTGTCCTACCGTTGGCGGTGGTCGTGTAGGAGACCCGAGGTGTAGGTCCGTCTGGGTAGCGACGGATCTAGTGGCTCCTGTCTCCGTCGAGGATCCTGGGAAGGACTTTCTGGTGAGGACCTAAGGGTGCGAGTCACCACAGGAGCAGAGAGATCCCCTCGTTTCCAAGCGGTTTCCCCGAAACCAGAGCGTTTATAGGACCGGGCGGGTCCTGTTGTTGTCGTTGTGGCAGGGTGACGACGGAATACCAAGTGCTGGTGGTGATATTTACTGCAGAGACCCTGAAGAAGCTCACTCTGCAGCTACTGTGACAGAGGCCCGTGATGGAGCTCGTTCTGCAACAAAGGCCCTGATGGAGCTCGCTTTGCGGATACAAAATAACAGAGGCCCGTAGTGGAGCTCGCTCTGTAACAAAGGCCCTGATAGAGCTCGCTTTGCGGATACTGGATCTGACACACGTTAGAGGCCCTAAAGGAGTTTACTCTATCCGTGAGGGAAGATCTGCTTGGATGGTCTTGCGGCACCATATCATATACCCGTGCGGAGCGATCTTGTCTGCGAGTTAACGTTCAACCATCTAGCTTTTAAGCTGCTCGAGTGATTCTGTATAATTACCAAAAATACATCAATACTTCGCTTGGAAGTCATACTTTATAATGGAAATAAAACGTAATTTTTCAAACTTTTTTTGATCATAATTTTTTAACGGACAGCGACCGCCACCTAAAACCTGCGGGGGAGTTACTCAGGGTCATGACCTTGACAACATATGTCAAGGTCAAGGTCATCGGGGGTGGCTCCCCTTTTCTGAACTTTTACCAAATTTTTTAAATGTTTGAAGTAAAAGAAAATTTTTTGAAATAAACGAAATTAAATGTTTGCGGCTCCAAAAATAAATTCAGTTCCAATAAAATATCTGTGTGAGTCTTCGCAATTGTTAGTGCGTAAATTATATATTTATAAAGCAATAAAATATAATTCGCAAACAATTGGATTGTATACCTGTGGGATTCAAATATAACATATATATATTTGAATACCACTTATACCAAATAAAGTATTAACAATCGCGAAGGCTTTCAAAGAGAACTCTTTTGATGTCGTTTATCTTATACTAATGGCTTCTGAATGGCATGTGAATCTTGCAGGAACTCTGTCATTATCAAGGTAGCGTTCGAGATATTCCTAGCTCGTGGGTGGCGTTATCCACTTGCAGAGGATTACGCGGTGTCATCTTCGATGGTGAGAATCTTCATTACATTCATCCAGAAGATGAGAATTTGGATTCCACGCATTACCTTTACAAACACAGCGATCTCACTGCCAACAATACATGTGGTAAGCATCGCGCGGTTAAATCGTCCCTGCTATATTTGGATCTTTTTTGCAACAATCATGAATAATGCAAAGCAGAAGACGGAAAAATTGCATCGAAAAGGTGGTTAATGTTATTAATGCACGTCATGTGCACATTATTAGAGTGCACGTTTAAAATTTTTAATTGAAAGGCTTGTTACAACAGTGGGATAATCTGGGCTATAAGTCACATTTTATAAACATAGAGAAAATAAACTCTAAAATTAAAATGTTTGAAAAAAAAAATTGATTTACACATTGCTACAAAAAATTTTATTTGGAATGTCCGAAAAGTTTATTACAGGTAGAGTACACTGAAAGAAAAATATGAGAGGAATAAAATTTCTTTATATCAGATGGTTACAACATTGTTGAGCAATAAAAATATTATAAATCATTGCATAAATGTTATACCTAATGACAACAGTGAGTCATTTCAATCTTTAGGACGAGTAGGAGACTTTTGCCACTCATTTTTACCAATGTCACATTTTCAACTACGTTGTGTTAGTCAACTGTTACAACGAATTTAATTTCGTTTCTACAAATATAGATTAGCTTTAATTTTAACTTACTTTTCATCTTTTTCTAATTCTAAGAATTAGAACTAGACTAAAATTAATCTACGTTAGTAGAAATGAGCATTAATATTCTTTCAAAAAGACATTATTGTACGAAAAATTCAGATAATTATTATCTTGTTTTATGATATGCTTCTGGTTTTTACGATATTAACATAATTTGTAATTGGATTGGAAATTGTTATTGGAATGTCTTAGAATTTTCATGATTTACTAATCATTGATTCACAACCACATTTGCAATATATTCGTTCCAAAATTGTATCTGTTGTCGCGGAAATTTCTGTCACCGAGGCAATATTTGCGGATTTTTTCAAAAGTATTCACGAACTTTGATTCTTAAGGTGCCTTTTCATGCTGACGCTCGACGCTCATTCTTAGCATCAAAATAGATCAAAATTGACACTTGATATTCGTCAATTTTTATCACGTAATCTATTTTGATGCTAAAACTGAGCGTCAAGTATCAGTATGAAATAGCACCTTTAAAAACTTTTAGCATGGAGGAACGAGTACGAGCTAGGTTCTTCATTCTTTTCCGGTGATACCGCCCCATACGGACTTAAAGACTCACTTCGAGAAGACTGGTCTCTCCTTAACGGTCTTAACGAATGTGAGAGCAAGACTTTGGTCACAACCGTGTCTCGGAGACTCTTTGTCCTATCCTCGATTCTACCGAGAATCCTGCCGAGGATCGTGTCCCTGTTTGACGTTTTTCTTTGGTTGCAGGTTACGAAGACACGCCGTTGCATGTTCTCCCTGATCGTCGCGAGATTAAAAGGTCCTCCAGGGTATGTATACAGAGCAACAGTAAAAAAAGAAAAAAGAATTCGCGCAAATCGCTCTTCCCCGGTAAATTATACGACTTCAAAGAACGTAGTCGCAGGGTCTTTGGTACTCTCGCTGTCTTGCGTGTACCCTTCTTCCGTTCTTTCTTTCTTATTAGGAGAATTCTGAATAGTTCGCAACTTGGAAATTGTCTTGATTTCGTTGCTTACGAAAATTTTAACAGAGTTTTCAACAAAACTAATGGATTTAGCGTTGAAAGTTTTTCAAGAAGCCATCATTAACTATTATTTGCTGTTGGAACAATTTTATTTTAACTTTTTATTTTTGTTAGTTTTATTGAGCTAAAGTTAAAATTAACGAATTTTATGATTAATGTCACGTTGTGTTCTCTTTTGTAGCACAAAAGAGCGGCTGAAATTATTCGTGGACCTTATAACGCGAATAGACAGTCACGTTACGTGGAATTGGTACTCGTAATCGACAAGAAGGAATACACCGCGCTCGACGAAAACCTGGATAAAGTGTATCAGCATTGTAAGGACATCGCCAACATTATTAACGCAGTAAGTAACGTCGCCGTTGTAACTTAATTGGACGTACAAGTCCTTTCGACAAGTCGAATAAGAACGATCTGAAGAACACAACGCTAATTCAACAACTCTATTATCCAATTAGTCGTTTTAGACATTTACAGTTTTCTTCTCCTAAAATATGTATCTCTAAAATGTATCTTTAACTGTCAGTTTTAGCAGTTCTATGAATTTTACTTTATTCAGGGTAACTGTTATATATATATAATTATGTTCACATGAATCTGCGAATTTTTACTTTTCTTTTTTTCAAGAAGAAAGTATGTTCTCAAATACCAGAATTTTAATAAGTCTTATCTTAAAATAATTATATACAATCTCCATTTGTATACATGTTTTCTTTAAACCTTGAGCTATTATATTCTATTGTTCAAAAAGTATTTTACAAATGACATATTTTTGCTGCGAAATTGAAATAGTGCTTTTTTCATAATATACAGGCTAATTCAAAATAACCTTTTGTCCTTAAAGAAACATGTTCCTGGCTGTATTCTGAGACGATCTTTCCTTTGGTAAAAATTTATCCGAAGCTTAGTTTTTGAGTTATAAAAAGAAATAGCGTATTACAAGTCAGAGTACCTACAGAAGATAACCGCCAGGGGCGGCGCCCTCACCGAGGCATGCGGGTACTTACGGGGGGTCTGTCAGGCTCAACAGTACATACGCCTAGAGTATACATTCAAATTCTTTCTCTCTGTCTATTACACGCACGCACGCACACACATTCTTACGCATCTATTTATTCACTCAGTTATCTACATTAATTATTACTAACTTTAACTTGAATAATCGAAGCATTTGTTATCTTGTTTTGTATGGTTCTATAATAATAAAAACTAACTGTTGAAGAACTTTTGGTACAAATATGTAAAATCAGACAAAATAATAGCGCAGAGTCGACGTTTGTAAGTATTTGCAAATCGCGAATTTCTATATTACTCTTACAAATTTTACGTAGATATCAGATTATTTAAATATTATTTTCAAGTTAAAATTATTGAGCGCAATTAAAGTGCGTAGGCGTGCGTGCGTGTAGAGTGCGAACGAGAGAGCAGTACGATCATGAAAGTGTGTGGAAAGTGAGATGCCTATACTGTTGCACATGGATTTTGACTTTCTATGCGAAGCGAGAGCTACCTCACATCAACAAATGGGTTGGGTTATTTTTAATAGTAGTGGAGCCTCCCGCAGAAGGGCGGAACCTACTGCATTTACGTATACAGCATACACTTTACAACATAAACCGACATTGTAGGTGCGAGCTTCTTCGCAGAGGAAAAGGTGGGGTGAGAGCATGGTGTAAGTAGAAAGGTGAACCATTCCGATGGATGCGCAGTAAATTAGAAGTAGTGGGGGCAGTCGCAACCAATCACACTTTGAGCTTTTATGCGAAATCTTCAATAGCGCGTAGAATAAAAATCTGAACAGCGCTTCGAAAACGCTTTACACGCGCGCTGCAAAAAAGCTCAAACCCTGATTGGTCAAGATCTCAAATCTCTGCCATTATGCGCAATGGTTCACCTTTCTACTTACATCATGAGTGAGAGTTCTCTCGCTTCGCGTGGAAAGTCAAAACCTTGTGGAAGTCATGCACTCCTTTGCAGGGGGAGGGAGGGGGGTGGGTAGAATCGCTTTGCGAAAAATTTAACGTTTCTAAACAGGAGATGCAAAATAGTACTTATTATCATACATACATGACAGATAATACGTTATTTTTGAAACTTTCTTTTGTTCATAACTTATTTTTGACGAAGAGCGAGCGACGGCTAAAACCTGTTGGTGGTTACTCCGGATCATGTCCTTGACAACATTGTTCAAGGTCATTGAGGGGGGTCCCCTCATCTAGACATTTACTGTAAATTTAAAATAAATATTAACTTCTAACTCTAAGTAAACTTTTCTGGTAATTAAATTTCAAGTTAACTCACTGTTTTGCTTGAAAATTATTTGAAAGTTGAATTTTGTTAACTAGTTTCTTCAGAGCTTCTTCAAAGCTACTTTCATTTTTACTTTTAATTTATAATATTAGCAATGATGGATTTCATTATCAGTTTAGATCTCTAATATCTCTGCAAACGAGAACAAACCATTCTGTGTATTCTGCGTTCTCTTTGACATAGCGAGACAGAGAGATTAATTAGAACTCGATCTTACCGCGTATCACAATACTGCGAAATCTATGTAAAATATGAGACAGTATATCTCGGTGTGTTTACAGCTATACATGCCACTGAATATATTCATTGCCCTAATCGGTGTGCAAGTATGGTCCGAATCAGACGAGATAGCACTCTCGCCGAATGGCGACACCACACTGTCGAATTTCCTACGCTACCGCAGAGAGAAGCTGATTCAGGATATTCCTAACGATAACGCCCAACTGTTGACGTGAGTGTACAGATATATATGTGTTACTTGTTTTGTCTAAGCATACACAGTGATGACTGAATTTATTTCTCGACACAGGCGAATTACCTTCGAGGGCGGTGTAGTTGGCAAAGCTCTCAAGGGGCCGATATGCACCTTTGAATTTTCTGGCGGCGTCTCCATGGATCACTCGAACGTCGTTGGTTTGGTCGCGGCCACTGTTGCTCATGAAATGGGTCACAATTTTGGCATGGAACACGACGGACCAGATTGCGGCTGTCCTGAAGAGAAGTACGTCGTATAGTTTGTCTTTCCTTAATACTTCAAACGTTCAACGAATCATAAAAGAACTTCATTTTATTTTACGACAATAAAAATTAATTCACGAAGTCGCAAGCTTATTTGTATAAGGCTTAATGTACAATGTATTAAATTGTTGTCTAATCCCGCTTTAATTATATATTACTAATGCATTTCTCTTGTAGATGCATAATGGCATCGTCCAGTGGTTCATCTGGACCAACGCACTGGTCCACGTGTTCGTTAGAACATCTAGCTCTAGCCTTTGAACATGGAATGGATTACTGCTTGAGGAACAAGCCGCAGAAACTTTTTGATAGTCCTATATGCGGTAATGGATTCGTTGAACCAGGCGAGCAATGTGATTGCGGTTTAAAAGAACACTGCGACAATCCTTGCTGCAATGTGACCACTTGTATGTTGCACAGTAACGCGAGTTGCGCGACCGGCGAATGTTGCGATTTGAAGACTTGTAGACCGAAGACCGCAGGCACGGAATGCCGAACTGTTGAACATGAGTGCGATTTGCCGGAATATTGCACCGGTCAAAGCGAATATTGTCCAGCAGATGTGTTTAAGATAAACGGCGAGACTTGTAATGGTGGCAAGGCCTTCTGCTATGGCGGTATGTGCAGGACTCACGACGATCAGTGCAAACTATTGTGGGGCCCCACTGGTACATCCTCTGACGCGCAATGTTACGAGATGAACAACAAGGGCACAAAAAATGGTAACTGCGGTTATAATCGCATCGAGTCAAGTTTCATCAGGTGTAACAATGAGTAAGTTACCTATGCGATATACAGTACACAAAAAAAATATTACATTAGATTTTGACGTCAGCATGATGAATGTATTGTAGAAATCTCTTCTGCGGTATGCTGCACTGTAAACACTTGAACGAACGACTAGAATTTGGTATGGAATCAGTCGCAACCTTAAGTCATTCGTTTATCAATAATGGTGGAAAAATAATTCCGTGTCGTTCGGCCATCGTCGATCTTGGATTGACTCAAGTGGATCCTGGTCTCACACCGGACGGCGCCAAGTGTGGACCCGGAAAGGTAAAATATTTCTGATAACGAAATTATTTTTAGCTTGAAATAAAACAATATATAGATATTGTCAAGTTAAGAGAGAGAAATAAAAATAAAATGACTTTTTAAATATCATTAAAAAAATTCTGCTTGACTAATATTCTTTCATGATAAACTTCATATTAATTTATGTTATAATGAAATAATGATAATGCTATATAATAATATAAGATTTTTATTTGATTTTTTAAAAATCACAATACAAATATTTGTATTTACAAACGGTGATCTATATACAGTACGTAATTTATTCGAGACAATTAGGTTATTATAATTTACTTATACTGTTTAGATGTGTGTAAATCAGAAGTGTATGTCAGTGGCGGATCTAAAAGCGTCCGTGTCCGACGGTAAAGCTTGCCCGAATAATTGCAATGATAACGGAGTGTGTAACAATCTTGGTCATTGCCATTGTAATCGTGGTTTTCGACCACCTGATTGCCTTCAAATTGGAGTTGGTGGTTCTGAAGATAGCGGTCCAGCCGAAGATCCCAACGGTAACTATTTTATGTCTAGTCTTTTAATTGATAAGAAGCAGAAGTAATAATGTTGAGAAGAGCTTTCAGAGTCTAACTAGTTATCTTTTGCTATATATTTGTATATATTAATGTAACAATTATTTATAAAAAATTTTATCATACTTTTCTATTATACTTTTTACTTTAAATCTTCTTCAGTAATGTGTGTATAAATTGTTCTTTGTTATATTATATTAGTATTTGTTTCAAGAATTTCACCAAAGGGAGAGAGAGAGAGAAAAAGATAATATACTGACCAACAAAATTAACATAACATCTGTTTTACTCTGCAAAACTAGGCAAAGGACTCCGCACGTTTCTTATGAAAAAATGTCGCCGGTCAAATTGCTCCGTTTTGAGATATGTTGTACTTCTTGTGATTCTGAACAAATGTCTCCAACTAAAAATTGTACACAACTGCGGTCTAGAGTTTTTGAAAGACTGAATCTTTATCTTTAATTTGCTTTTTTTCCGATTTTTGTATGATTTTTTTACTGAGTTATTCAACGTTGAATAAATCGGTGAAAAAATCGTACGAAGCTTCGTAAAAAAATTAATTAAAGGTAAAGATTCGCTCTTTCAAATAATGTAAATCGCATTTGTACAATTTTTAGTCCGCCCCGTGGAACTACGCAAATTTCGTAAAAAATTTTGAGATTTGATATATCTTCATTTATTTTTGTGCAACTTTATAAAATCTCCATGAGACCGTTTTTTAAAGTAGCAATCTGAAAAGTATAAGAGATTTCAAGCTGTAAAATACTTTTTTAAACATCTCGATGCGACGATTTTTGACGAAGTTATTCTATCTTGAAATTTGCCTATTTTTGCAGAGCGAAATAGGTGTTGTGTTAATTTTCAAACTAAATACCGATGAGAATAAGCCATTTACGATCAAGTTAGATCTTGGATGCTTCTAATATAATTTCATGTGAATTTATATACTACGTAGATTTATATACTATGTAGATTTTTAAATGCGCGCCGAAATTTTTTCAGACTTATAATGCAAACTAATAAACTACCGCAGTACTATCACGAGTTAAATTGACTAATAATCTAATAATTTTTGATGCTCACTGCATCTTGGATCTTAATAATATGTTGAATGTCATTAAAATCTATGAATGGTATATTAAAAATTTGTAAATAATTTAATTACATTGCGAAAAATATTACCTCGGCCGGGAATCGAACCCGGATCGTCTGCTTTACACACAAGTGTCCTAGCCAATTAGATTACCGAGGCTAAAAAATTTTGCCACTGGTATTAGTATTACCCAAGGTGTATTCACGGGGAGATTACGCAGTCGGACTTACACCTCATGTGCGTGCGTGCGTGCGTTGGATGAAGTACGTGGGTGACATTTACACTTAAAAATCTGGTATTCCCGCCTCGTCTTCGAATGACTTCTTGCAAGCGCTCATGCATATTGATGCAAGATAGCCGTGATACATCTCGGGTAACGCTAATACCGGCGGTAAAATTTTTAGAAATTTTCAAAGAAAAGACTACAAATTGCATTACTCACTTCAAATCACTCAGTGAAAAAAATTGCATAATACTAAAAAATTTTAAAAAGAAAATATTAAACTGTATTTACAATTAAAGAAATTTGTTAGACTTTAAAAAGTTTTTTCGTACATCGCTTCGCAACCATTCTTCGCGGAGATATGTGAAATTTGAATTTGGTTCTTTTTAATGCTGATTTTAAGTGTCTTTAATTTTATTCAGTAGCTGCATGCAAACTTCAAGATAAAATAACTTCGTCAAAAATCATCGAATCGAGATGTTTAAAAAAGCATTTTAAAGCTTGAAATCTCTACTTTTTAGACTGGTACTTCAAAAAATGGTCTGATTGATATTTCGTGAAGTTACACAAATATAAATAAAAGTGAGTCAAACCTAAAAATTTTTTACGTAATTTGAAAAGTTCCACCGCACGAAATAAAAATTGTGCACAAATGTGATTTACATCATTCGAAAGAGCGAATCTTTATCTTTAATTTGCTTTTTTACAAAGTTCTGTACGTTTTTTTTTCACCAAATTATTCAATGTGTGTTGAAGCAAAAGGGTCATTTTTCAAAACTGATGAAATTTTTGAAAAATGACCTTTTTGCCTCAACATTGAATAATTTGGTGAAAAAACATTGTACAGAGCTTCGAAAAAAAATTAATTAAAGGTAAAGATTTGCTCTTTCGAATTATGTAAATTGCATTTGCGTACAATTTTTAGTTTACCCCGTGGAAATCTGCAAATTTCGTAAAAAATTTTTAGATCTGATACATCTTCATTTATGTTTGTGTAACTTCATAAAATCTCCGTGAGACTACTTTTTCAAGTAGCGATTTGAAAAGTAGAGGTTTCAAGCTTTTTTGAACATCTCGATACAATGATTTTTGACGAAGTTTTTTTATCTTGAAGTTTCATTATTTTTGCAGAGTGAAACAGGCGTTGCGTTAATTTTATTGCCTAGTGTATATAATAATAAATACTTTATTTTAGCAATGTCATTTGTATTATATGATGATGTTTTGTACGTTTTCAGGGAAAAACGATTTCATAACTGCGATTTACGTTATCTTCTTGGGAGTGTTGCCCGCCATAGCTCTGTTCCTATTATGCATCTGGTACGTCAGGAATTCCGGGCAGCACTGGAAGAAGGATGTGATGTCTACGTACGTATCTAGTTTCAACCGTTTTAAAAAAAAACGTAAACCGCATGCCAATAAATCACTCGATGTTTCGTCATCAAATACGTCAAAGACACAGACACATTATACCGCTGGTAGCAAATTTTTCGGTTGGCGGATAATAATCGCCGCCTATATTACACCGAAGAAAAAGAATACCTCTCGTAACACGAATAATAAAATATTCACGATTAGTGACAATGTCAGTCTCAAAGAACCGCCTCAGATAACTAAGACTGATCTGATATCCACCACCAATCCGGACGCTATTAAGTGTAGCAATAATATCGAATACAGAAAGTCATTACTATTCGGCAACGTAAAACCAGATACAATGGATAAAACTGTTAGTACAAAGTCCCAAACAAATGAAGTTTATAATAAGATTACAACTTTTTCGGTACCTGGAGTTGAAGTCCAATCGAAAAATATCACTCCACTTAAATCAGAATTAGGCTCCAAAATATCGGAACGTATTCAGCAGATTCAGCAAAGATCGTTTAAAAACGATGAAGGATTTACGCTCAATACTGACGTCAAGTTTGACCATTTGAATGAAAGCCTAACTAGTATATCTAACATTACTTTACAAACGCCGGATATATTTAATAATTCAAAGAAGCCTGCTCCATTTTATAATAAAAAGCCACCGCTCCCACCAGCACCTGCTCAAAGCTTAAAACCAAAGATCTGAGCGATTTCTTATTTATCTGTATGAATCTCATCATGGATATTTTACGTAAAAGTTTATTACGTATTATTAGAAAATTTTTTAATTTATAGTATATTACGATATTTTTATAAATTTTTCATATTCTCAAAAATTAAAGTAAAAAATTCATTTTATTAATATGTAATTTTTGCTAATTTATATTTTATATATATAATGTATACCTAAATGAAACTGGAGAACTGTAATAAGGTCACATACCTTTATTAAATAAGTACTTGTAAAATTTATATTTTATATATATATATATATATATATATGTATATAAAGAATGTAGTTTATCTTTCTGAATATATTTTTTAAAACAATGAATATAAAATAAATCATATATTTAAGAACCATTTTATCCAATATAGTGCGAACATCATAGCGCATTTTTTTACGATTGCTATGATTTTTGCATTACAATATGGGAATTCCAAAATGGTGATGGTTATATAGAAACAATATTTAGATATTACTGGATGTCAAAATGCATTAAAGTAATTTTTACTGTGATTGTAACTGCTGATAGTCGTTATAATGATCCAATATATTCTTTCAGTCAAAATTATAATATATTTTTACACGAATTAAAAAAAATTAGTAGTTAAGCATTTAAATGATATTGAATTTTTATCATGTTTATACAATATATCGTTTATGTGATCAAATCTGTTCCAAACAGATTTTTTTATATAATAAGTAATGTAGGTATATAATAAGTAATGATCGTACGTGTATTGATGTGTATTTTTTTTCTTTAATTCATTGACTACATCTTTGGTGCAATATGCATTGAGTGATTTTAAACTTAGAAAAGCTAGATAAAGTATGTGGTCACGATGAACAGTATTATGTTCTTATAGACTTTTTTTGTGTGCATGTACAGTACACAAACTTATTGTCTAATTTAAAGTTTTATTTTACTAATTTCATATTAATTACACGAACAAAATAGAAGTTACGTAAATAAAAATAACTTTTATGCACAGTATTTTATATCACAATATTAATATATACATATATATGATATGTATATGCCTCTAATGCATAAAAATTTTAACAAAATTTTATCTATAGCTTTTCTGTATTCACAATTTTCAAGTCATTAATTTGTGTGAGTACTGTACATGTGACTAATATTAAATAGATTAATTTAATTTTGTGAACAAAATACTGTTCAATTTTTTGAACCTAAATTTTTATATAGAAACTATGAATTTAATATAGACATATAACAGCGAAGATTGTTGGAGAGATTGTTTATAACATATAGAGAGCATGTGCAAAATCATGTTATGTGAGCATGAGCATGAATGAAGGTTCTTTTCTTTTACTAGCTCCTTGCATTTTATCAAAAAAACTGATAATTTACATTAAATACTACTGGACATTCAGTTTTCAAGAATAATTTTTGTTATTATATTAATAATAATTACGTAAGAAGTACTTAATTTTAATTGTAAAAACAAATTTTTTAATTCTTTACTCATTCCTTGGATGTGAAAATCAAATATCCGATAATGTTATTCATATTTACAGATATAAAAATGTACAATTTATTGAATAAACATAGTATTGATATAAAGTGTTTTTAGTCTTCCTTTATAATCAACGATTTCCTTCTTTTCCAACGCTTGCTACTAATCTCTTAATTTGTAACTAACATTTCCCAACAATTTTCTTGTTTGTGCATGCGTTTGGATTTGCGGTGAATAGCTTCAGATTTGATAAAAATGCTTCTACATTTTCGAATGATATTAAATATGTGCATGTGTTGGAGCATATATATCTATAATATAATATAACTAAACTGTAGTATGTAGTGAAAAAAACTTAAAATTTATATTATTTTTTATTTAAATTATTTTACTTTTTTTCGATACAAACACATTTATTATTCCATTATCGAGATCCACACAACGCTTCTAATTTATACTAAATAAAAAAGATCTTTAATAAAATTTATTTTATTACGAAACAAAATGTGTATTAGCTATATATCATAATTGCGCGCTTACAAGTTCCTCGATCCCTCTGCTTATAATTTTGCTTCAAATTTCAGGACCGATCGTGGCCACAATGGATTGTTAATCAAAACGATCGATCGTTCCAGCCCCATGTCCCGTAACATCGAAACGATCGATTCTAGTCTGAGTCAAGATCCCGCGTGCGTGAGTTTGCTGTCTAAGGCAGAGGCTGACGAGCGATACAACAACAATATGTTTGGTCAGTTTAAAGGCTTCACGATTACACCGATCCACTCGAATCAATCTAAATTGGCTGAGCCCACGAAACCGGCTCCACCTCCACCGGGATGGATGCCTACTGTGGCAATAAAAACAAACATGGCTAAACCGAATGTGCAAAAGTGCAGTGTGCCACCAAGAAGCAATCTGTTGGGTTCTAATGATCCTGCACCAATGTTACCGCCGCTAAATCCAGGTTCTACGGCACGACCGTTGATCAGTAGTCCCGTATTAGCGGCCACAACCTGTACATCCGTCGAATTAGTAGTTAAGGTACCCACTAGACCTGCCCCGAACGTACCTATGCGTCCAGCTCCGCCACCGCCCACTTCCGCGTCTTTTACAAAGCCGCAGAGACCTAACAGCACGCCCTTGATAAATGTAATACTGCCAGAACCCGAGAAGAAGTTGGAAAAGGGCAGCACGCTTAACCGAATTGCGTCGATATTGCGTCCTGGCTCCGGTATTATGAGAAGCAATTCCCAGAGCTCGCCGAGGGATGACAAGAACACTAATTCTTTACCGAGGAGCCAGCATCACAAGGCCAACAAAGTTATCGACAAAGAGATCCTGAGGAACCTCGAAATCTCTAATCCGATACCGCAGACGGAGATCGAGATCGCGACACCAGTAATCCCAGTGATACCGGTGGCCGAAGTCGAGAAGAGAAACGTGGTCCTGCGCGCTCAATCAATGAGAGACAGCAAAGTTACGTCAAGACCATTTGTCCAAACATTTGGCTCGATGCGTCAGACGACACCCGTTAAGAGGCCCACCAGTATACCTGCCAGCACGAGACCTACGTCACCACCGCCGGGTCCACCGAACATTGCACAAACGGAAAAAGCCGCCGAGAATACGATAAAGATTCCAGGATTGCCGGGTTATCAGAATCCGCCGGCGAAAACTGTTCAAAAACCATTAGAGAACACCTATGACGACTGCATGAATTTGATCACAGAATCATCTCTGACGAAGATCACGGAGGAATCGCCTACGATCGATAATATCTATGCAGTGATAGAGGAACCTGTGCCGGAGAAGAATAAGAAGAACATGGAATTGGAGGTAATGCCGATTGATAACGAGTATAAACTGCCAAAACGTATCGATACCATACCCGGTGGCCCGAACAGCCTGGAATCAATGGGTTTACTGTCAGAGATTGTATCGGAGATATCGAATCGTAATTTCAATTCTATATATTCCACTTCGACATTAACCAGGAAGAAGAAAGAGGATAGTGAGGAAGATGCAACGAAAAATTTGGAAAATATGGGATCCAATAACTCTCTGGGTGGCTACATGAATTCGAATCACTACAAAATACCTGGTGGAATTTATTCAAACTCAACATCTGGTAAATTTAACTCTTCGAGTTCCACCACCAGTTCTGGCTATCTTCATCCATCCATGATAAATGTTCCACAAGTGGAAAAGAAAGAGGCGAGCAACAATATTTCTGATGCAAATGACAATTTAAAATCAGTCAATAGTAATCTAAACACTCTTAAATCTAATAATCCTAATATAAACGACGAGCTGTCCAAAGAACTCGGCATAAAGCCATCTGAAAATTCTATAGGGTATAAGCCGTTCGCTTCAACGAAGACTCGATCATCTCATTTGATACATATCAAGAAGGACGATCAAACTGAGAACAAGATTCCGGCAAAATCGCCATTAAATAGGACTAAAACGCCTCCAAATATCGCGAAAAGCCCGACTTCCAAAGATATACCTGAGTCGAGCGTAAAACTTGCGAGACAAAGTTCAGATAATACATTAAAATCCTCGAAATTCTCGAAAGCTTCCAACACAAGTTCAACAACGATGAAACAGAGCTCGGATGCGAATTCAATTGCGAGACAAACACAAACAAACGTAAGCAAATCAAGTAGCGACTTAGATAAAGAAGAATCACATACAACCGTATCTGTTAAAAATGTGCCTTATAGTTCTAAGGATAATCTGGAAAAGTTCAATAGCCCGGATCTGGTCTCGAGTTGCTCGAATTCTAATCAAGGTGGAACAAAATCGCCAGATGTTGTGGGTAGCAATCCTAAGTTTAATCTCTCTCTTAAAACTGTTCAAAAGACTCCCACACTATCAAGAAGTGGCCAGAAAACGCCCACAACGCTGTTGAAACCACTCAACATTACATCCAAAACAGCTAGTCTCTCGGAAAGAAAGAAGTCTCCAACTGGCAACGCAAGTGTGACTAAATCACTATCACCGTCTGCCAAGGAGGCAAATAATGACAGTACTAAGCCATCGCATTTGACACCGAAGGTATTTGCTAAAACAGAAATCAAGAGCGGGGATACAGGTACGGCAACGAGGACGAATCCATTACAAAGAGTGGCGAGCGGTAAATCCAATGTGGCATCGCTCCAGCAAAAGTTCGAAGCTAATAAGAATAGTTTTGGTGTCGCGAGGACTATATCGAGTGCGAATAATAAAAAACCGGTGGCACGAATGACGGAAGTTAGCGACGGCGGATTGAGGAAATGAGCGATCACCTGGAAGAGTGTGGCAGCTCGGCATTTCCAATGCTCGGACGTGCTTGACGGGAAAAACATTAGAGAAAAATCTATACTTGAAACATTCTAGTCCGTCACATTGAATCGTTCTCGGTGGAAAATGCGTAGTATATTATAAACGTGTATACGCGTTCATGATAAACGAGTACATCGTAACATGTACGAATATAAACGTAGATAACGCGCGAGGGCGATATATCTCTTCTTATTTAAGAAATCTTAAACGGAAGTTTAAAAAATAGTACAAGGATCTTTTCTTCTAAGATCCATAAAACGCTAATTTTACAAGCAAATATATTTCTTGTCGGAATATTAAAGATAGATCGTGTGCGGCTGCGTTGCATAAGAGACACAACATTAAAAATTGTAAATAGTGCCCAGACTTAAAAATTCTCATATTTTTTGTAGAGACTATCCATTGCCGATGTTCAAGCGTACCTATATAAGCCAATAATTAATGTAATATTTATCTTAAGCGTTTTATAAGCAACATTGCGAGGTAAGCGACAGTTATTTTCGGAACCATCGCTTGAAACTAGAATGGGCGTGTACGGAATTAATTGACCTCTGTGATATATGTATATGTATAAAGAAATATTATGCACAGAAACACTATTATGCCACATTGTTATGGCTAGCAGATTTTAGACGCGACCAAATTATTTTATATCATATTACATAAATCGTATTGATAAAAAACGCGCCGTTAAGTTTTCTAAAATGCCATCGGAAATCGCAGCCATATCCGACGTAGCTCCGTTAATAGGGGAAGAAGGTCTCTTTTCTTTCCAAAGATTAAATATTTATGAGAAATCAAGTTGCAAGATTGTACCTTTGAGATCCCATGGGAGTCAAAATGAAAATGCTATTAGTTAGAAGAGTCTAGGTGTTAGCGCATGCTAGTGATACAACACTGCAAATCGAATTAAGGTGATATTCCCTTGGCGGCAAAAGGCAAGGCCGCTAAAATATAATATTATATGTATCGGAAAATTTCGTCCGTTTTTATGCAAAAAGTATGACTTTATTTAAGAAACAAAATGAAAAAGTATTATACATCAATCAAAGTATTGGCCATCGTTAGATATGACTTTTTCCCATCTTTCTGGTAATAAGCAGATCCCACGGCGAAAAAACGACTCATCTTTAGAGACTATCCTGTTAGAGACCTATTTTTCGACGCTTTCATAAGAGTTGAAGTATTACTCTGCAAGTGCGTGTGCCATCGACCGAAACAAGTGGTAGTCGGAAGGGGCACAGTCTAGTGAATAAGCCGCATGGGGTAGCACTTCCCAGCGAAGTAACGCTTCCTTAACGAGTCTTATGACGTGAGGTCGAGCGTTGTCATGAAGCAAGATCATTTTATGCTGTCTCGTTTCATATTCTGGTCGTTTTTCGTGCAATGCTCGACTCAAACGGATAATTTGTTCTCGGTAGAGATCTCCTCTGACTGTTTGACCAAATTTCATCAAATACAGAGCATTGCCTTCTTTCCGTGGATATTCCGCTTTGGCGTCGATGTCGATGGTTGGCCTGGATCGCAAATGGTTTTACGGCGTTTAGGGTTATTGAAATCATATATGTAAGAGTATTACATATATGATCGAAATAGATCCACTTTTCATCACCAGTCACAATTCGGTGCAAAAATCCCTTTCTTTGTTGCCTAACAAGCAGAATTTCGGAAGTGGTTTTTCGCCTTTCAATGTCTCTTGAACCTTCAGTTCATATGGGACCCATTTTCCTTCCTTGTAGATCTTTCCCAAGGCTTTCAAACGATCGGAAATAACAGATCGAGCACAATTTAATGTTTCTGCAAGTTGTTTTTGCGTTTGACATGGGTCTTCCTCCATCATTGCCTGCAATTCTTCGTCTTTAAATGCTTTTGGCCGTCCAGAACGCTCGATCTTTGTCCTCCAATTAAAATCACCACTTTGAAAGCGTCGAAACCATTCTTTGCATGTTTTATCGGAAGGAGCACTATCACCATATAAACTTCTACAATCATTCGATGAGTTTCAGCTGCAGTTTTCTTCCATTTGAAGCAAAAGATTACACTTCGCGCAAATGACGCTTATCACTCAAATGTCGACATTTTCGATGCAGTAAAAAGCAGTGTAATTGATGCAAACGTATGCTTTTATATACTGAATTTTATTGACAGATGATAAAACTAAAAAATTAAGCTTGGTGTTTAGACATTAAGAGTTATCGACAGTTCTAGTTACAGCTACTTGCCGCTAGATGGACGGAACTTTCCGACACACCTAATATTTCACCTCGATCATGCAACATTCACGCAACCTTTATTTTTCTTGTGTAAATTAGAGGCTTGCTTCGTCTAGGACAGCTATAGATGCAAAGATTAAAACTATTTATTTGACTGATACCCGTGTAAATATATGTTCGTAAGATGTAGTTATATAGAAGTTTTGTACGATGTATCTTCGCGCCAAGAATAAGTTACATTCGTTACATTTGTAAGTTACTCATGCGCATTAAGCTGATTCTACATTAGTCGCAACGCAGCATCGCAAACATTGCGGTCCAACCAACATCAAGCTCGCTCGACTCTGATTGGACCGCACGCTTGCGACATGCTTGAAACGCTGCGATGCGACTAATGTAGAACCAGCTTTATACGTACGATCGCAAGAGGAAAGCAGCTTCTTGAACGTCGAGTTTATCGTTAAGCACGTTAAGGAAAGGTTTTATTGAACTGATAAATTCTGTCAAAGTCGAATTATGTTTATGCATTTATTGTTCTCTTTTCTCCTCTTCGCGCAGCAAATTTCCCTGTATGAATCCAATTATAATAATACTTTGATTTGTAGCGTTATGCATTTTGTAAAGCCGGTTCTACATTAGTTGCAAGCCGATCTCAAGTTTGTTGCGACAGCCAATCTGAAGCGTTGATTTCAAAATGCAAGCTTGAGATTGGCTGTCGCAACGAAATTGCGATCGGCTTGCAACTAATGTAGAACCGGCTTAATGGGCCTTCTACAATAAGCCGTAAGTCACAAATCATAAGTCATAAGCTAGAAATGGACCAATCACAGTTGTCAATTTTTAGTTTCTTACTTCCGATTTATGACTTATGTAGAAAGCCCATAATAGTTCCTTACGTATGGAGCGTCCAGAAATCATTCCACCACAGAAAATTTCAACAAAGAGGTTCAATAAAGCTTTTTGACAATTTACTATGCGTACTGTATGTACATTACTTTTTCCGTTTAATTGTTTTTTTTACGTGCGAGATGTCGTGTGCATTGCTTCGATACACGAGGACAATCAGATGTTTATTTGACGTACGGCATACGAAGAGGCTTGCTTCAGTGACTCCTGCTCGTTATTAATGAATAAGTATTATTCGTAAGAGTATTTAAAAAAAGAAAGTAAAAAAAATGTTAAATACCACTGAAATGTGTTGAAAAGAAAAATATATCGGCCATTAGAATATTTATTTCTCATTTGTTGGAACTTTTCTTTACACTGGTTGCATTAAATTACTTTGAGAGCTAGAGGAATAGTCTTTTTATTCGGCGAAGAAATCTTCTAACAGTTACAAAATAAATATTCTACTAAACACGGCCATGAATACTAATGCAACGAATGATTGCGACCATATAATCGACAAATATTCGATGAATTGGCTCAAGTATAACGCAGTCTACGAAGTCACAATACTTCGTCTTACTTTGTCTAATAAAAAGAATAACAGGCATTATTGCAATACATACTGTATATTCATTACCAAAGATAAGTAGCATCCTATCTACAACACTGCTGAGATAAGCACTACAATAATTAATTAGCCGTCGGTTTATGATAATTATGTAAATTAAAACTCTTGACGATGTTACAATAAAGTCTTTATTCCAAGTAAATATTTTCCTAAACCACCCTCTGCATTTTTGCATTGTGGTAGAAATAAATTGAATCGTTCACATAGAACGAGAAATATACAGGAACTGGTCAGTTCCGACTATAAAACATAGCCCCAGATAGAATATAGAGTCATAATTAAGTCATAACGATATGTGATGTAACATGACACCATTATTAGTGTTACTTAAAAATAAATAAATTTATTTTTAAGACAAAAAATAAGGTCATGATGGATTCGGTCAACGCAATGTTATAAATGGTTTGAAACATTACCTTATTTTCGGGTCGCTAGATGAGAACCTCCCCTTAATTTATCGATCCCCTACACCAGGGATACGCAACAACGATGCTTTCGGATCCGACCCGCGATGTCCAAGCTTAAACCTGCAAAAATAAACTGAATTAAAGTGCATAATGCTAAATTAATTTTTGGTACATCAGTGATATTGCAATTGATATCAGGATCGAAGTACTGAAATTTATGCATCATATTAGAATCAAAATAGCCACTACCGATGGCGAGTAACGTAAAAACGAAATTAGTAGCAATACAATAAGCTAGCAAAATGATCGCACAGTCGAAGTCAGTAACACTTTTCAAAAATATGTATAGAGTATATAGGTGAGATGATGCACACCCGAACCAGAACGAAACACGTCCGCCCCGTTCGAGTGGTCTCAATAGACTTTATATGCATCATATTTATGCAATTTCTATTGGACAGATCAACGCGCTGCTAGTGAAGGGGGGATGAGAATAATTATGGATAATTCAAAGAAGACAAAAAATATGAATTCTAAATTTTACTGGTGTGGCCCACGGTATAACTTCAAATTTTATATTGACCCGTCAAAAAATTTAATTGCATTTCCCTGCCCTACACACTTCAAAAGTTTTTACATTTAAATTCCGGACATCCTGTATAATAATTTTATATGTATAACACTAGTTTACAGTAAAAAATTACTTTAGACCGGACCTATATGTCTCTTATATATTTTTAAACACTGAAAACGATATCGTAAGCGAAAAAATTCTAGCACGTCAGATTTACAAGATAATACCAAACAGTACAGAACATCCACTGGATATCCAGACTTGGTTTCAATCTGGTTCATACGTCCATAGTACGAATGTTTTAAAAACGTACAAAGTATGTTTGAACATTAAAAAAATGTTTATCTCATGCAAACAATTTTCTAAGTCTGCTTGCGACGTGTTGTTTTCGCTGACTTGCTAAAAGTGAACATTTTTTTAAGATTGCACGAGAAGTTTTACTTTGGTTATCTCCGGTAATGCGAAAATTTACCAAATTAAAACTTAGTTCAGACAGTACGCAACAAGCGGCAAGAGTCAAGCAACAATAGCTTGCTGCTCGTAGAGTCCTAGATATCAGAGAAGCGCAACCGTCTCAAGTCAATATCGCAAAATTACTAAGAAAAGTAATAAAAATGGCGTCTTTTGCAGACGAAATATGAAATCCACCAATCGTTTATTAGTCAGCCATTTTTAATACCACTGAATGAATGTCATGATTGGCTGACAGTCAGCTAATCAGGACGCGGAACATCGGTTGCGCTTCTCTGATATCTAGCTGCTCGCAGTGATACGAATTTGGAATCTTTTGCTTCCAGCGTGCGTCTAGATTGTGGTCTAAAATTTGTTCAATATATTAATTTAGTCCAGTTTTAGTCCATTGCATCCTAAAATGAATGTTATTAAGAAGTCCAAAATGGTAACACTGGATGTTTTTAAAACGTTTTTAAAATATTCATGGATTTAATCTGGATGTTTTTAATATGTCCACACGTCCAACATGTACACTTTAAGTACATTTTTTAAAAATTAGATACAATATAAAGAGGCTATCGAGCCAAAAATATATATATTTAAATCAATAACAAAATAAATACATAAACAATTATTAAGGAAGCATTTGATTATATTGTAATATAAACAAAACGACGTTTCAACCTCGCTTGGGTCATCTCCAATGTTAAAATATATAAAACTTTTTAATGACGATACGCAAACCTTATAAAATAATAACGTTATTTGTTGCACCAATTCTGGCTGCATCATGTTAGTGATGTTGCTAATTATTATGACATTTGTAAATTTCTCTATCCATATCCTAACGATGAAATCCAACAAGTTGCTTTTCTTTGATAGTGTAGAAATACAATTAAAGGCTGAGATAAAATTAATCGCAATTAAATTGTATGACATATATCAATAAAATGATTGTTGAAGAATGCACTATCAAATGTGTCAAAATATCTTCGTAACGACGCAGCAACATTAGTGAAGTTATATCCAATAATTTTTCGTCGGTGTTATTTTTAAAATAAATTCGAGACAATATGCGTTCAGATATAAGATAATATATCGTATGTGAATCATGCGCGGCATTCGGCAAGTACTATCCCTATGAAAGTGAACGAAGGGAAATCGTATACCGCGCGCTCCGTTCATCTGCATGCGCGAGCGCGGACAAATTCAACGGACGCAAAGCGCGCGCGCGCGCGTGCGTTTTCGTAAAAAAAAAATCATTTTTAGGGGGAGAGAAAAGAAAAGGGGAAATGAGTGCCGACACTGCCAACTGCTGCCGATGGTATGCGAGATGAGCAGGATCGCGAATTGCTATGCGGATTAATACCGTCGTTTAATTGGATTCGCGAATTATGACGCCGATTTTGAATCGGTCGTGACGAGTCTCTATTTCGTAAGTATACCTTTCAAAAAAGTTCGGAACGGGAGAAAGAGTCAGATTACAAAAACTTCGCGTTCGCAGCCAATGCGTCGTTGACGAAGTGTTCGGGATTTGATTGCTGAAATTAACTGACTATAACCTAGAAATTGTATCCTCCCCAACCGAGTTTGACTCCGATTCATTTGCCTTGTATTGTGTTTATGTGATCGTGCGGTGAATGAACGGACGAACCTTCGTGCTCGCCACCAATCATGAAAATTCATCCTTTTAATCGCGATCAAAGCCCCGCGTTTCCAGGCCACTTTTTGAATTACAGAAGATCCTGCATTGACTGCTCTCATACCTGTTGACATGGTGAAACTGGCATATGCATCATTCTCCAAGCTTACGTCCACAGACATAATGTCCAACGTATACCCGAACAATATGATAAAACCTTCAAATAATATGATAAAACCCACCTTATCTGAAGTAAGTTATATTACTTGACTATTACAATTAAAAGAATAGTATGACTGTTAGATAATGTATGTAGTAAAAAGTAATTGTTTAATTACTGTAGTATATATGTATGTGTGTTATGTATATGTGTATTACACAAAAGTTTTCAACACTAATTGAGACTCATATATGGGCTTTGTTGTTTACAGGTGTTGCAATCAGATTGCGTGAAACGGCTTTTTAATCAACCGGATCTTATCATTAAGACGATCCCTTTAACACCACTTGAGTCTGACAATACATTTTGTCATAAAAAGAATGGTATAAATTTAACATCAAATCATACAACATCTGAAATATCGATATTTCCTGTTAGGACAGCAGACGAAGAGGACGACAATCTTCTCCCTTCAAAAATAAAGCACAAAAAATCAGAAATTTCTTTGTTACCTGTTAAAAAGAAATCGTGTGGTCATTATCAGCCATGTGAAAATATTATTTGTGACGTGATAGTACAACAATATGTGGATAAAGATTGTGTGACACCCATGTTAGCATTGAGCATAGAAGAAGACGAGATAAATGCGCCGGTTGAAAAACACTGCAGGAACAAGTACTGTGATGCATTAAGCATTGATCATAATCGTTGTCGTCAGGCACTAATAAAGTTATATAAATGTGACAATTCACAAATGTGTGATATTTGTGGAAGAACATTTAAGAAATGGATATCTCGGATACATCACAGGAATTGTAAAAGAAGAAAAGTATACATTCATAACGATACAGACAGATTGCATTTACTGAAGGAACGGATGCGCATGCGAGAGTTACAGATCTTAGAAATTGCGAAAATGAAAAAACGCGATTACTCGGATCCTAATAAAGTGATGGAGACACTGTGGAAAAATGACGAGTTGATAATTATTCCGCAAAAAGCATCTAGTAAATCGAGTGTTACCACGATTTCAGTACCTACCACTCAATCGACCAGCACCAACGCTCTACCTATCGTAATTAATTCGCAGAAAACTAAATCTACGAATACCCTTGAAAGTGCGTCTGTCACAATTTCATCACAGAACACTATAATTTTTCCGAACAACACATCATGTTCCGAAAACAAAACAAAATCGATAAATCAAGTAAGATTTTCAAATTTACAACAAAATTCCCACTTGGAATCTATTTCAATTACGATTCCAGCTCAAGCTCAAACTCAAGTTCCAGTTTCAACTTCGACTCCAGTTCTAACTCTAACTCTAGTTCCAACTTCAGCATCTGCTACAGTTTCAACTCCAACTTCAGTTCCAACTGTAGCCCTGGCTCTAACTCCAAATTCAACTTCAGCTTCAGCTTCAACTTTAGTTCCAACGTTCACTCTAACTTTAGCTCCAACGCCAGTTTCAATTCCAGCTCTAACTCAGATTTCAACTCCGAATGTTGTTACCACTTCTGCATCTACTTCGATTATACCTCCAAAGAAACCATGTATTCGCCTCGCAGTTTCACCTCAAACTACTACTATTCAGCCGACAAACAACTTAACTGCATCATCATCACATATTTTTACAACTTCATCAGTTCAGCCTAAAACGTTTCTCACGCCAATACGCGTGGTACCGATAGCCAATTTAATCAGCCCGCCGTCGTTGTTACATCATACGCAAGGCATCCCTAAGTTCTGCATTGTTGCAGAAAATGTTACATCGATGACTACTTCGAAGTCACCATCTGTTCAACCTACTGTTCAACCTACTGCTCAACCTACCGTTCAAACTACTGTTCAACCTACTGCAACTGATAATACCGCCACTGTGCAAATAAATACTCCAAAGTCTCTGATCGCTCCAATATCGAAAGTGCATAAATTACCGAAATTAAAGAAAAAAAAGAAAGGTTCTTTCTGCGTTTACTGCTCGAAATATATCACCACTGATTGGTATTTCAAGGTGCATGTTGCAAAGCACAAGGGCGAGAAACTCTTCTTCTGTCATTTTTGTGATGAATCCTTCAGTAATAACTACGATATGAAAAAACATATAACTAATCAACACACCGATCAAAAAGAACTTGCATGTAATAAGTGCAACTATACTTGCACGTCACTTGTTTCCTTCAAAAGCCACATCCAAACGCATGCAGTAAGTAGTCTTAATAAAGTAGACGTACATTCGAAAAAGCAAAAAAAATTGGAACTTTTGGAAAATAAAGTAAACTATAAGTTAATTCACAATTCATATAAAAGAAAAGTAAAAAAAATAAAATACGAGGATACATCCGATAGTCAGAATAAACAACAGCATAATAAAGAGAAGCATAATAATAAAAATTTATCGATGATTAACAGAGACAGCAATGCGAAGACAAAAGGGTTTAATCCGTTCGTTTCCGTGAAAAAAATTGAACTTGCAAATTTCAAACAAGAATCTCCTATTACATCGAGATGAAGCATGTTTTAATTTTGAGGTATAAAAATGTTTCGCCAAATATGGTTTTTATTACAAAGAGTTTGTGTGCAAAAAAGAAAATATACAAAGAGCAATCAAGAAATTATCTTATCATGCAACCAAAATATTAAGTGTAAAAAATATCTTGTATAGCATATGAGTGTAGCATACTTGGACAAAATAATTCAAAATTCTTTTGTGGAATATCGATTGTTGAATGCTTATAAATTCTTGTGCAACCTAATGACATAAAGTGTATATAAATCTCGTCGATGCAAATATTTCTTGATTTACTCGGCCACTTTTAACTACTGTATAAATAAAACCCACGACGAATTTGAATTGCTCATATTCTTTTCGCGAATGCAATATTTAAAATTCTACTTTTATATAATAATTTAACGCAGTTATTTTAATCAAATTAATAATATATCGGCCGTTATCGATTACATTTATACTAATAATTTTTCTTTACATTCCTGTAAATACAAAATATAAATTACATATCTATATACATATATCAATATACATATAGTTATAATGTATGTATATATGGATGTAATATATATATATGTACATAATTTACATATTAGATATCTGTATAATTTGTATTTTAGCGTCATGAAGAGGTTTAGCATATCTATATAGTAAAAAGTTATGTATTTGTGTTGAAAACACTTTTTCACGTCCTTTAACAGTTTGTATTGAATTTTGTAACACATTTGAGTGTTTAACATAATACGATTGTTATTTAAAGATTTTATGTAAAATTGATATTCAACGTTTCGCACTGACAAAATGACATTATTTATGAGTAAATGAACAAGTAACAAAAATGCTTTTATGGTTTGTTTTTACAAACTGTGTCGATATTTTTTATGCTTTTATGGTTTGTTTTTATAAACTATCGATATTTTTTAAATTTATTCTTACATATATTTGTGTAACCTTTTGACATATTCATCTTATGTTAAATAAACTCAAAAATTTAAATAGACTATGTTTGGTAAAATTTAAATAGACATGCAATTTATGTTAAATTTGATACACATTTTTTCTAACAGTGATCGTTAAAGCAATTTTTATAATTTATTAAAATATAATTTTTGTATTAATTTTTATTAAAAATAATGTTCTGTTATTTTCTCTTGCGTCGAAAAACTTTTATTTAATAACGTTTAACAATTACAAGATAAAATTTACTCGACATTAGAGAAAATAATAGAATAATATTTTTAATAAAAGTTAATACAAAATCATATTATATTGTAATAAATTATAAAAAAAATTGCTTTGACGATTTATTTCAGGTATTTTAAGCTTTTTCATGATGCTTATAAAAAAAATTAACTATTGTGCAATTATTTAAATTTTTTAAACATTTAAGAGAATAAAATTTTATTTAGTATTTGAACACAGTAAAATATTTCCTTCATAAATTTTAATTGCATTTCTTTTATACTATTCTGTATTGAAGATAACACGTCAAAAAATTTTTTAATTTTAATACGTAACATATAATTTGTCAAATTATGCAGATTTGTATCTTTTTCATTTAACATAACAATTTCTTTAATTAGTTTTTTATCTTAATAGGATCGCATTTAACTGTGATATATTTTTCCCCACGAAAATTTTTTTTTCTATATTATATTCATTCTATATTCGTCTATATATTGTACTGTAAACTATTATTTGATACATTTTAATAATAGTGTGTATAGTTACAAACTTTATTATGCAACTTGTAATTTCAAATAAAAGGTTTCTTAAAGATTTGTTTTCCATACAAATCTTGTAATATAACTATACAAGATATACAAATCGTCAACTTGTTGGTGTGTTAAAGCACAGCATAAAGGAAATATGAATAATGCAATGTAAACATTGACACGTATATGATACACGAAATAATGTAATGTGTTTATGTATGTAAGAAATATATTAGTTTAATATAAAGTATATAATGTATAAGTGACTTTAAGCCCATTCTACAATCGCGTAAACATAGCTATAAGTGGCCGTAGTAAGAATTATCTAATCACAGTCCAACATTTTCTTCGTATTTGACTGGTTAATTCTTACAACTACATTGTTCAACTATTTACAACTACGCTTACGCAATTGTAGAGTGGGCTTTACACACACACACACACACACGCGCGCGCGCGCCCGTATACACATTTATGTATATATATTCTCAAATAGTCTTAAACATCAGTATAGATTAAAAACTGTCACTACATATAAAGCTATTTCTTTCAATTATAAATTAATGAATTATAACGTTAGTTATAATTAATTGACAATATGAAATACTTTTCGTTTTTATTTTTTCATTTTCTTTTGTGTCTAAAACAGTGTACAAAAGACAGTGTAAGCTACGCATTACATTTGTGATATAGATTTATGTACAAGTACTCGTACTTTGTTTTTTTTTCTAAGAACAATGTTTACTAAACATACTATTCTTTTTGATACGCTATATAAAATATTAAAAAAATGAGAAATTAAGTTTTTTTAAGATTTATTGAGCAAATCTTACTCATATGTTCAGTGAAATCTTTTTTATCTTATAGAGCAATTTACTATAAGAGCAAAACAGTACAAAAATAATAAAATATTTTAAATAATAAATTTAACAATGTTAAGAAATCAATATTATGGAATCCTCGAAATGCAAACAATTAAATTAAAATATTTAAATGGCTCTTTGGAGTCAGCGCAGAAGACAATGCGCTGCCTCCAAAAAGTTGTTTACATATTTTAATTTAATTGTTTAATAAATTTAAATTTGTATGTTATGCGTACATTGTGAAATATTCAATATTCAAGATCTGCTGTACTTTGTCTTATTGTTGAAACGTAAAAGGTATAACTGGTATAATTATTAGTTTTCACATAAAATATTTTATTATGAGATAACACATCTATTACTTATTAAGAATAAATAATGTTCCTGAATGCAAAAAATCAATGAAGTATTAAGTGCCTTGTAAATCAGAAATTTCTTATATAGTCATGCTTTTATTATAGACTTGTAGATAATCATCTACAGAAATAAAATATGTTTTGAAGCATATTCTGCATTTGTTTCCTAGATTTTTCTTTAATATCAGTTTTTTAAATACACGTTTGCACTTTGTAGATAACTTTAAATGCATGTCTGTTATATTAGAATTTAGATAGTTTTGAGTAAATCTCAAGTTAGGAAATGTGTACTAAAGTGTATTTTAATATAAGGACTGTTTGTTCACAAAAATTATACTTTATAATTATGAATTTAATGTAACAAAATGATACGAAATATAACAGCGTTATCTGCTCTAACGATATATAATTATTTTTTAGGTTTTGGTACATTGATATATCTGTTTTATTAGAAATATTTTATTATTTATTTTCCTATATATAATACGAAGAAATGTCTTTTACCACACAAAAAAAAAACTAAAATAATGAAAATATAGTACGAAGAGAATTGATAAAGACTATAAAAAATATTTGTTACATATTTTATGAGGAATTAATTGACTATATTTGTGATGATATATTTACTATAATCACATTACGATCAATAAAATAAGTTTATTTATTTTCTTAATGTATTGACGAGATAATAAAAATTAAATACAGTATTACAATTTGTGTAACTTCACTTCTACATTTGTAATAAAAAATTATTAATAAAATATTTATGTTTGTATATTGAATGTAAATCATTTTTCCTTCAAACCATTTATGATAAGGTAATGGGGATGCTAAATAACGAACTTAAGTATCTTCCTAAGTCAAAAACATAATTAATAAATTAATACTAAATTTATTGATGATAATATGCTAAATAAATTTCCACAATTTACTAAGATCACTTATTGTCAAACAAAAGACTTGAATATTTCCTAACAAAGGCTGCGTTCAGCAGAGAAAGCATTGGTCTTACCCTTACTTCCTTATTACATCTAAATGTATAAGCCAATCATATTCAAGAATTTTACAACAGTTGCAAAGCTGCTTTTTCTGCTGAATGCAGCCAAAGACATTCATATTTGAACAATATATCAAATATGATCAATAAAATGAGAGAGTATGAAAATAACCAATATTCTCTTCTTTCTATATGATTGGTTGAATAGAAAGAGATGGAGATCATTTTCATGTCCTCTAAGTTTTTTCAACAAATTTTACATTGTAAAATTTCTAGAATCATAAACAATACTGCGTATATAAACAAATTTTATTAGGAAAATATATTCTATAGAAACAAAGTATCCCAGATATGAATTTAATTCTAAGATAACCTATGGATAAATTATATCGTCTCATCCTTTGAATAAAAAGCTAAAAACCTAATAAATTTTAAAAGTAGTTTTATTTTCTAATAAATAAAAGTAGTTTTATTTTCTATAAATTAGGCACTAAAACATTCTGATGCCATAAAAATTATAACTATAATTAAATCGAATAAAAGCTAAGGCTCATGCAATTTATCAAACGATTTATTTTCATAAGATCAAGATTTGATAGGGGCTATGTCACAAAAAAAATAATTCAGAATAAATAAAAAAATTAAAATATTATCTGGAAAAAAAATATTGTGAAAACAAATATTGTTATCTGAATTATCAGAGGTTAATATTATCAACATCTTGATTATATCTTAAAAAAGAAGTCGATGATTTATTAAAATATATACTTGTTTAAGATACAGATAAGATAGAGATAAGTTCTAGTAAAATACATATATGTTATATTCGATCCAAAGCTTCTAACATTATGACGCTGTTGCCACGAATTACCTACAAATATATAATTTATCTTAATAAATATTAATATTAATTGATATCTAATATTATAAAAATATTCTGTTTTATACACATAATCTGCTCTTTCATAAAAATAAATATAAAACCACAACAAAACTTACCACCATTCCTATATTGTTCTTAGTACCATCCTTGCATTCTTCTATACTTTCATCTATAACCATGTTCATGAATGGATCAAAACCTCTTAATATTCCAACAACGCGCCGGCCCCCATTCAACTTTACTGAAAGAGTTTTGAGTGAAATTAAAGAACAAAATATTTGTTACTTTCTGCTAAAGTAATTCTTGCATGTTTTATGAAAAACCCATAAAATTGTTTTAATTGTGTATGCTTACAATTAGCCTTTTTACAAATATTTTATATTATAAAAACTATGTTTACATTTATTCTATAAAAATATTCAGAAAATATTTCTTTGAGAAGTTATTACTTTTTATCCAGAAAATCTTTTTGAGTGATTAATATTCTGTGATTCAAGAGTCACTACACCAACTTAACCTTTTAGCAAGGCTTATTTTTCACATATCTCAATCTTTCTCTTGGAAACATAATTTTAATTTTACAGTACATTTTTGCATTATTACTTACGGGATAGTCTTTTATCCATATATCTGAAAAAAGTACAGAAACATTAATATAAAAGTATAACGTAATAAAAAGATATACAAGGAGAATAATAATACCGATAACGAGATCGCACTGGCTTATAAAAAAATATACTTCACTTCTTAAGTTCTGGTGGATGTGCTTTACTCATTTTCGGTTATAATAACGGAACCTTTAAATATCTAAATACACTGACAGATATTCACAAAATTGTGCGAAATGGTGCAATAAATTTATTAACGTTGTTTACTGGTGATACTAAACCATAGTATATACAGTAGCCAGTAGCGCAACTCTCATTTCACCTAGAGATCCTATAATAGGGAGTCTGACCAATGTTCTAGTAAGAAATAAAATGGCGTCCATTAGGGTGCAGTTAGAGACCCTGGAGTCCGGCCGAAGATGTCGTCACTCTCATTGGCTAAGAAAGAATATGGCGCGACCAATCGTTGCTGTTGAAATTTCCTTTCAAGCGCAGCATAATTTGAATGTGATGAAATCAAGAAGACTAGTTCTAGTCTTCTTGGATGAAATAATAAATTAAGAAAAACTTTCTATTTACTTGTTAATAATGAAATTATTTTATTAATAAAAATACAGATTATAAAATATATAAAGATGTTTAAATTATAAACATATAAAATATATAGTCAATGGCAATGCACTCTGTAATCAAATAACTTATTTTTATAATCTAATATATGTATATGTATGTACACGATCCTGTACCGACGATAGTTTGAAAAATTTACCTTTTGAAAAACAGTGTTGCTATAAAAATGCTTGTTTTTTTTTTAATACATTATATTAAAGATAATAAAAATATTAAAGATCTTCAACGACTCATTTTGGTCTGTTGTTTTGTAATATGTCTGAGGAGGGCTCAATCCGAGAGCCGAAACTTGTAACAACACTTATTTATATATATTATTTATCATATTTTTAAGTATATTTTGTTCGAAGGCGAATTAGTGTTAAATAATGTTTTTTAAGTTAATTATCGAAAGAAGTTACTAATTATACGTTTCATGTTTAAAGAAAAATCTTTTTTTGACTCTTATATCGCCCTTGTCTTCTTATTGTTTGTTTTTGTTTTTTTTTTAGCTTTTGGCGATTTGCGGTATTTTTTTGTAAATATCTCAATTTCTGCAAGGTGTACGTAAAAAATAAAAATTGATGCTTAGAAAATTTCCTATAAAATAGTAGGTTGTTAATTTATAAGCGATAAACATTGACCGACATACAGACGTTTGAAAACGAGACTTCATTTTTCCAATTTGGAAAATAATAATCTTTAATTTTGATGATAGCTATTTCTGGCGTAGAAGTAGCCGTATATAAGATATTTCCGATATATTGACGAGGAAACATTCTCATTTTCAAAATATTCGATATGCTTTTAAAAAATGATATCTCCGGAATTATCGATCGTACGACATTTAATAAGATCTCATTTTATAGGTAATTGAATACACTCTTTCGATTTTGTTATATGCGTTTTGCACGTAGATATGCACCTAAATTTGAGATATTCGCGAAGACAAAACAAATTTATTATACATAACGTTCGAAAATAAGCGGTCCCTTAAAAATAATCTATCTCGAGAACTATTGGTCGTATGAAGTACAATCACTAGAGAATTTTGTAGAGAATTTTATTATCTTTCTTTTATTATATGCACCTACTTTGGCCGTAAAATTAATAGGAAAGATGATAACCGCGAAAAACCGAAATTTCAACCCTTCTACGCTGGGTAATAAACTTAGTATACAAGCTAACTAATATTGGAAACTTTTCAGATATCATTTCTCTCGCCTAAATGAAGCAATTTATAGCTTGATCGGAGTTTTTGTGTTTATAAACCTTTTTTTGTTCTAATGTGGCTGGACTAGTCCCCATTTGGTGAAGAAGAAAGTGCTCTTCCATCAAAACAATGCACGGCCGGGTTCACACGTACCCGGTACCGATGACCAAATTCAACGAATTCCTCTACGAATTGCTTCCTAATCCAGCATATTCGCCAGATTTAGCCTCCTGCGACTATTTCCTGTTTCTAGATCTGAAGGAATGGTTCGGAGGAAAGAGATCACCACCAGAGAGCAGCTCATTGCCGAAACAGACGCTTATTTTGAAGGGTTGGTCAAATCATATTATTCGGACGGCTTGAAAAAGTTGGAGAATCGTTGGATCAAGTGTATCGCGCTGAAAGGAGACTATATGTTGAGAAATAAAAATGAATCAATAAAAAAAAATGTGTTTTACTATGTTTTTCTAAAAACTTATAGACTTATCGACTCGTATATTATTAAAATATTGAAATAATTCCATTTTTATTGCTTCTTCTTATTATTATTATTAGAACAAATATTAGAACACAATATTTCTAGTGTTACACATTTATTTCTTTAATACAATCTCCACTAAAATTGTTATAAAGTACAATTTCCAGAACGGAATATTTACAAAAGTTATTTTTTATAGGATATATTATCATACATTGTTAGCAAAGTAATTAATTCCACTTTCGATTGTTTATTGTTGATATGAAAGCAAAAGTTATAGCACAATGTCTCTTAATGTTATACATTTATTTCATCAATATGAACTTCGCTATAGTTATTATAAAGTATAATCTCGTATGTGTTACACAATATTTATTTTACACTAATGCAAGTAACTGGACACAATGCTGGAAAGAATACTCTCCTGTATAATCGCAATGCATCTCTATCCTATTTATTCTATTCTATTATTGGAATTGTAAATTTCGAAAAAAAATTTTTTTTTTATTCAAATCGATTTTCCAAACACATTAATATATCGTAACATAAACTGCTGATATATTGTTCGGAAAGGTATGACGCAATACATGTTTATAATATTTTATGATTACCGATAATAAGCGACGTGCGTATTTGATGTGATTCAACTTGCTAATTTGGAGTCGATTTCGATGAGTTTGCAATACTCGGCTCATACCTTTCTCGGAACATTAAGTTGAAAGCCGCCCGCGAACTATATTTGACTTAGCAAAACCAAGTTTTCGCGGGCTGCTCGTGTAGTCAGAAATCGGCACGTAGACCAGCACTGCGAACACGAAACAAAACCGGATGTGTATATTAGGATCTAGAACGTGTGTAAAAGCCGATCGAAAATACTTACAAGTTACTTGGTCCGGCGTAGGGCGGCGGATTTGGACGAATGTATGGGTTGCAGCGTTCACCGGAAATTCTTAAAAGTATATTAGAACATTTATATAAAAAATATTATAGCATTTTTGAGTGCAATAGTTTCGAACTTAACTCAGATCGGATTATTAACGTTATATGCTTTACTTTAGTTTCTGATTGAATAAGGCCATATTTTTGAGTTAACCTGCCTGGGTTGAATTCAAACTCACACTGCACTCGAAAACATTTTAAAACTATTAGTTAATATTGGTAAATATTTTTAAAAAATGTACTGTTTGATTGAAGCTTCGCTTTGGATTGCAGAGAAATGTGTAGGTAAGGCTTGCATCACACTACCATACAATGCGTTCATAGAAAGAGCTTTTTATTCACTGATATCTCTTAAGCCCATGTCATACTGTGTATATGGAGATTGAAGATTGTGAATTAAAGATTAGAATTCGAACAGTTAATCAGATAATTTATTTAATTTTAATCTGTTTTGATTGGTTGAATTCTAATTTTTAATTTATAATCTTTAATCTCCAAGTATTACATAGTATTGCACTGACTTCCTAGTAAGAAATGACAATGGAATCGACGTCGAATCGATGTCAATTCGACGTCTAATCGACATCAATTCGATGTCGATTCCATTGTCATTTCTCACTGGGTTAAGAAACATTAGCAAGTAAAAAGTTCTCTTAATTTGTTAAGCCTTTTAAATTCTTTTGACTTTTAACGTGATGTCTATCGATTCTTAATTGATACTGTTCAAATTCTTAAAAATAAAGTTTCTTCAAATTTTGTCTTCATCAGTTAAGTAATCAAAAGTGCTCTATATAAACAGTATATATATATAGCTACTATGTTTGCAATTATGTTCTTAGGTAATTTAAATGCTTGTAAAAAGTGAAGAAAAATTCACTCGACTTCATACGAATGCCTTTTTACAACTTCCACAATAGATTCGCAATGCGATTGCATTGAAGTGTGTTTTTACTGGAAATAATTACTGTATACTAGTGAAGTGCGTTAGCACATTCATATTTTGATTAATGAATCTGCTTGCCAGTTGCGCGAATACACATAGTGTTTTCTTCCTAAAAAATAATGTCCTGCTCTGTGCCAGCTACGTAATAAACGAGACTGATGATTTTTTTTACATTTCATCTAAAACAGGATCTTTCGAGAAAGAGGTTCCGGTGGGAAAAAATGACTTGAATATTCAATGAATGTTGTTCACGTTCATAGATTTCTAATAGAAATCGAAACCGGTATCATTTTGCACGCATTTGGATTTCGTTGTAAAAAGACGCACAATAATATGTACCATCTCGCCGCCGCCCCCCCCCCCCCCAGCGATTTGTGACAATTTTCTAATAAACAAGATCTTTAATCTGCAACAAGGCTGTAAAAAATTAAGCCTAATAATGCAATATGCTGTTTGTTTTCCATTTCTTGTTTTTTATCTCTTGTCTTTTTGCCTCTAAGTTTGTTTCTTCGTTTCTGTCACACCTGAGATAAACGTTGACGAACTTTGAAAGAGACAAGAAACACATGACAACAAACACGATTGTCATTAAAATAATCACAAAGAGGGAAAAAAGCCAAGAGGTAAAGAGCATGAAACAGAAAGCAAAAAGCACATATTAGATTAGGCTCTAAACTCGATGTTGTTTGTTATATTAAGCATATCTCTATACCTTGGACTTTGTGATAGAGAATCGTTTGGACTTGATGGTTGAGCTGACAACGACTTCAGAGTACTTCTCTCCGGCATAGCATAATGCACCATTTGTATTCCATTGTTTCCAACTGCTTCTCCTGGCGTAGATTCCCGCTTCTCTCTGTAAAAATAGGAATATCTCATTCCGTTCAAGCAAACATTTAGCCAAGCATTACTTTTCTCACAATCCGGATTTCACACGTTCATATGATGGAGTTTAGGAGCATGAATAAAATTAAAATCCGGCTTTGAGCCTGAATTAGCCGTTATTTTGTCGTCATAATTATCATATGACGAACATAAGTGTCATTAACCTTCATTTGTAAAGTTTTAAGAAGCGTTTATCAATTCTAGCATGGTTATGTTTAAATGTGTGAAGTATTATGTAACATGCAAATACGATAGAAAAATTTAACAAATATAAAACATTAAGGTAGTTAGACCCCAACTATGCGAGTCAAAGACAGACTCAAACATATTCTAAATTTAAATCAATATATATTATTATGTAAAATCTAAGAATAAAAAAACAATGTATTTTATACACTTACAATATTAAATCATGATGAAATAAGTTAATTTAAGAAAAGAAGGAAATTCTACGTATCACGTAGTACATAAGAGAAATTAGATCGTGGCAACATCACATTTTTACGAATAGACGAATATAGTGATAGGCGCTATTATCCTATTTATAATTTACTTTTTATTACCATGATTATTTCACTCTCTCTTTAAAAAAAAATTCTACAAATAATTTATATATTTTATATTATATGCTACCAAAGTCTCCCCGATATCAGAATCATCGCTAGGTATAAGGATTTTCGACTGTATGATTGATTGACATGGTCATTGAAAGTGCGACGTTGCCATATCTACTAGACTTCGTCAATTCTCGAGAGAATGTATAAAATCAAAATTTTTTATTGATTCAAACTTTAGTATCATATGGTGAATATTTGCGGTATTCCCAGATAACATTTATGTTGCATAAGATATCTAAAAGACGTCTTTTAGAAGTCTTATGTCTAAAGCATGTCTAAAAGACGTCTATATTAGATATCTTATGCAACATAAATGTTATCTAGGTTGTTACACACGCTTCTTCATAAATTCAACTACATGAGACTCGTTTTTCATTAACTTCTTACATGCGGTTCCGATAATAATCCGATGAAAATCCGTGTCATATCACAATGGCTCGTATTAATACCTAAATTACTTGAGACAAAAGTTTCAAGACATTCTTACATAATTGTACTTTAGGGTCTAACTACCTTAATCGCAAACAAATTTCGATATTATTTGATATTTTTTTTAATCCGATATTACGACTTACGCTAAACATAAAATTAATAAAGTCTTATAATAACGGAGTTAATAAAATCTTATAATTAATAAAGTCTTATAATAACTTTGCGAAAATTAGTAGATTAAAAATTTTAAATTATTTATGCAATACGACAGAACATACCTGACAGGTTGTTCTCTCAAAAGAAAAATATTAAACAGTTCATCGAAATATTCATCGGACTCCGGATCTGTCCTAGGAAAATAAAACATAAATATCTTTCGGTTTTCATCGCAGAAGTGCCTTTAAATAACGATTGATCAATTAATATCGTTAAATCTTGTCGAGTTAATATTAACGTTTGTATTAATTCATAAATTATGTTATAGTAATATTCATGAATTAAACTATGTACTCTAAAGATAAAAATTTATTCTTATATATATAATGAGACTCTGGCAATACTATTTTTCCCGCAGCGGCTGGTATTTTAATTACCATTTACGTCAGAACACAATAGTTGCAAGCCTCGGAGTCACGAACATATGTAAGGTAATATGATAAAAAGTAAAGAAACCGTATAAACACTTATAAAACTTTGTCAGGCATCATAAACATCCGTCATTAATTAACATTGTTAACGTGATGTTAAATTAATAAATCATATCCTTTTAAATTGTATTAATGTTTATGTTATCTGCCAACTAAAATATGTTTAATGTAATGTAAAGTAAAAATTTTGATATAGCAATACAAAATTTGTCAAGATTCAAATGAGGAAATGTTTAAGTGAGAATATTTTTCATTTTTAATTCAATTCTCTCGTAATTTTTGTTGATATGTTTATTAAAAAAATTCATTTAGAATAGAAAGAAAATAATGTCTTAAACTAAAGAAATCGCGTGCTGCTGTTAAAATTGTTTGTCGTACCATATAATTTTGACGAAAACTGAACTTCTTTTGTTATGTGGTAAGCTTCTACGACATTTCCGCATCGTATTCCGATGAATAGATCTTCTCTCTCTCTCTCTCTCTCTCTCTCTCTCTCTCTCTCTCTCTCTTCGTTCGCGTAATCGCCAGAACTTTTTAATGAGTCATATCGCGCCTATGACGCGCGAGTCCTGTTCCTGTTTGCGCAGCGCCCGCATTATCAACTGCGCGATTACCTTGATCGCGGCATGGTTTACCGGGCTCCCCTCGGGGAAACACAAGCAATTCGACAAAAAACGCGGAATATTGATCATGACTTCAAACAGATCCCACTGACTCGATGTCGTGGCTACGCGAAATGCACGCGGCTGCGTCAGCGTTGCGTCAATTGTGTCACGTGTAGCACGACGTAATTGACTTATTATCGCGAGACGCCGATGAAAATTGACGCGTCCTACGATGTATATACCCAAAGACATGCACGCACTCGAGTGCGTACGAGCGCGGCGCTGGACGTCGTCTTTGCGAATTCTTTACGAACGCGCCGATTATCATGCATAGTATATATTTTAAAAAAATATGGATATGGGTTTAACACCAACGGTGTTATACAAAATGTATTCTCTCTCTCACAGATTTTCCGTATAAAGTTTGATATGAGTTATGAGCTGAAATAAGAAAAAAGATCTTTAAATGCTTTATTAAGAAGTTATAAGCAAAATATGAAATATGTAAAAAACAATTTTATCTAAGTTTGCATTTCAAATTACCAAGTCAATATAAGCTTGGCATCGATGTAATTTTGAATTTATCATCTTTTTTACAAGCAATCTTTATAGGAGAAGATTTCTTCTGTAACCTCACAAAAAAAAAATAATAAATTCAAAATTATATCGTTTTGAAGCTTGTATATTGACTTGGGTGAACAGTAATTTGAAATGCAAATTTAAACTTGTTCTTTTTACACATTTTATATTTCTCTTATAACTTTTTCATAAAGCGTTTAAAGACCTATGTCCGTATAACATATTTTCTTATTTCAACTCATAGATCATATACTATTAAAGTTTGTATGAAAAATCCGGAGTCATCTCGTATAATTAATGTTGATATAAACACTAACATGGTGTAGATTTAATATTATGGATATGAAGTTTAACATCTCTCACCATGTGGTGTTTAGATATATAATTCTTACTGTGTTTGTATTGATATACACCAACATGATGTGAATTTAACATCATGGTTTAAAACCATGATATGAAATTTATGTTGATGTTTATATCAATATTAAGACGATGAAAGTTATTTAATATTCATAATGTTAAATTTGTATCTATATTTTTTCAAAGTGTATGAACAACCAAATTAAAAACTGTAAACGGAGTTACGCCGTATTTCGTTTAATCGCGCACCGCGATATGTTTCTAATTATAGACACATATCGAATCCGTCATAATATTCAGTGCAGCGATCTTGTTGAGGAAGAAACATGCCTTCAACTCGCTAATCAACATTCATCACAGTATATAGAAATTTGAAATATCGAACTCGTCGAAGTTGTTACATCTGTGCATATAATAAATGTAAAATATTTTACTTAAATATTACGATTCATATAATGTTTAACGTCACCAAACCGTATTACATAATTGTTACATTCCGGGTGATCGATAATGAACTTACAACTGGTGTGAGCTGTTTATAAGTTACCTCAACAGTTTTACTGCTCTCCGTCGCAAAAAATATTGACGTTAGACGATTAGATTAGATGCGATTTTGTATAATATATCGTTTGAATATGCATTAGAAGATTCAAGAGGTTTTGCTAAATATTTACGATGAATACTTCGACATAAAACGTCTAATTATAATAGATTAGCCGGTATCATCAAAAGTAACGAGTTGCACGCTGTGTGCCAAACTAAAAATGTCTCGCAAAGTGGCCGATAAAGCGACAAAAATACACTTACAAGGTTGTACTATGCACACTAAATTAGATCAGTCAATTGAAGTTGTATACCGTAGTAGAATTAAAAGAAACTGTTTGTATCTGTGCTTAATAACTCTACACTCAATCCTCCATCGCAGCAATGTGGGATCTTTTAAGACATGTCGATTTTTTTTATAGTAAATTTTAAGAAAATAGATAGCTAGACTCAATATCGCTTTCTAAAAAAACTTGATGATAAAATTGTATTTGTAAAAGGACGCCAATATCCAGTTGTTCGTTTCGTTACAAGGATAAATAGAAGAGCTCTCAATTATTCATGTTGCATAAAATTTTGTGCGAATAAAAAATTTAGATTTTTTTTTGTGTTTACATCTTTTTGACATTAATTTTAATTGGGATTTTAAGTCATAACATCACACGTCTAATATAGCTGCATCAATAAAAATAAGAAACTGCGCACAATCAAGGAATAGGAACAGAGAATAAGAATTTTAATCATCAAAAACGATGTACTATGGAATACTGCACAGTTTTTCTCGGAGAGATTGAAATTCTTATTTTTTCCTCTTGTTCCTATTCCTTGATTGTGCGCAGTTCCTTATCCTCATGAACGCGTGACGTCACGACTTAAAAGATCCTAATAAATATATTGAACATGGCCGGAGACATTACCGCGTGAAATCTTTATCAGGACATTACATCTCCTGATAAAGATTTCACTTTTAATGTAGCTCTTTTAGTGTTTGTACTATTATTTACTGTTGCAATTGTAAAATAAAAAGATTATCAGAGATACATAATTTATGAAACATACTCGAAATTAAAGAAGATTAATTCAAGTTGTAGACTATAATTGAAAATTTCACATTATCGATAATAAGTTAATATCTACTTGCACTTAATAATTTAATAAATTTATATCCAGGCAGAAACTTTTGAACGACACGTTTTTCCTAACAATTTTGCATGTATCTTATACATACAGAATATAAAAATACAAAGATCTTCAGTTAGAGTATGTTTTCATAAGTGCATAGAGAAGCCGATAGATTTTATGGTAGCACTTATGCGGTGACTTTGTAAAGTGGCTTTTGTAACCATTGTAAGCATCATTTCCGGACACTTCACGCCTTTTACAGTGGTGTAGTGAAGCCACGCCGCTTTTGTGGTCATCAATTGAAGCCTTTAACTGAGGCAGCGTTATGTCATTTTACGAACTTATAGGTATTATTAGAAATTCCCGTTCCCTCCCCATTCCACATCTTTTATTGAACAGATTTTAATATTGTGAGTACAAATTAGTTCGGTCCGTTTTCCAAAAGATGATCGCCTCCAAACAGTCATTTTTACGAGATGGAATTCGAAAATTGCCTGAGAGATAGGCAAAAGTAGTAGCCAGCGATGGACAATACTTTAATTAATCTGTTCATTCATTTTGTTTTGAAATAAATGCATTTTTGAATACAAAAAACGGACCGAACTAATTTGTACACCTATTTAAAAAAAAGGGAAGGATAAAGTTTATTCTTTAGCTAAACGTTCCTAGTATTTCAAAGAAAAAAAATGCGCAGAACATAAATGACCCAATTGTGTGTATTAAGGGTTAAGTATGTAAATCTTCGGAAATTGTATTAAAAATTATGAATGACACAATAAATCATTTTGCCAATGCATTATCAGTTTAACCGTCGCGTCGTTAATGGTTCGGATCTAAATAAAAAATAAATTCGACATTTAATGAGTTGAAATAATTATATTTTGTTTTTAATATGTATATGTGCTAAATATGGATATGTATAACATATGTATAATATAGTGACGCACATAAAGTCTATAATAAAACCATAATTGGGTCGATTATATCGCATATGTAAAAATCCCGATCCTATATCTATATTTTGTTTGCAATTGGTGTTTGTGTCACGTATGTAAATTACATTATCTTCTTCCTAATTAGACCTCTCGCTAAAGATTTCCTCAATAAAAACTTTTAAATCTGCAAAAAAAGCTTTAAATCCGCTATTGAAATATTTTTTGATAATGGTCAGCTATGTTAATATATAAAACTGTGTTTTCAATAATAGCTACTTGTTCTTCATTCAAAATAATTATTAGCGTAATTAAATACATTTATCATAAATTGGATAATACTTCCGTTCATGTGCACCAACATTAAATTCACTCACATGAATTTCTTATTTATTTTCTTGGTCTTTCGTGAATGCCACTTTGTGACATGTATTTTTGGGCGGTCTTTTTTTTTTTTATCACTGTAACATATTTTATCATTTCACCTTGTTTCATAGTATTTATATATTAACGGCAAAAAACCTATAATATATTATCTTATTTTTAATGTATTTTGTATTATAATGAAAATTTAATAAAGCATCATTTTAGACTACTTTTGGATTTATTAGAGAGTTTATTAATACATTATATGTATATGTATAATACATATGTTTTCCTTTGATTAAATTTATTATCATTTACAGACTAATTAGTTGTTGATATTTTTGTGCTATTCTTGAATTTACAAAAACAATTCACAATAATTTTGTTTAGCTAGCTCAAGACTTCGATTTGTGCATTCTTAGCCACAACACAGAATCTAGTATTGCGATTTCTTATGTGTGTTGTCAATATATAAAGAAAAGTTGACTGTGATGTCTATCAAAGCTATAAAAAATAGATATAAACATAAGAATAAAAAAGAAATAGATCTAAATAAAAAAAAATAATAGAGATATATGAAATAAATATTCCAATTCTAATGCGAGATAAAAATATGGAAATCAAGTTTTAAAAAATAATTTTTCTGAAATGGCAAATAATCATTTGAAAGTAGCTTTATAAGTAGCTAATTTTTCTCCAACAAGGTGTATCGAGTGCTTACATTTTCTCGTGATGCAGACAGAAAGCGGTGCTAAGAAAGGCGCCCAACACGAGAAGCAGTCCAACTGGTACGAAAATCGTAGTGGCGATTTCCTTGAAATAACTTCTAGTGGGTATGCTAGCTTTCGTTGAATGGGCCCACCGCCATTCTGTATGCTCGGAAATGCCCGAAGAGAGCAGATCCACGACGTTTGCGCTAGGGCCTCTTCGGGCGCTCTCATGCTGTAGACTCTGTTGATCTTCCTCTAGCTGTAAAAATTGTATTTTTTATTATGAAGACAGTATTAATTAACGAGATACCACAAAGAGGTAGCACGTGATTTGCGACTGACATTTTATGTAAAATCGAATGTGGAAATTGATCGATTGAGAGATGAGATTGCGAAAATAACCATAAATGTAAATTAAAAACGACTGACAATATATACGAGAAATATACGATGACAACACGGTCGAGTGAAATATACAATGACGTATTTGGAACTTGTGATCTCGCGTAAAGAAGCACAGCAGTGTCTCGCACCATGTCTTGGCGCCGAGACACTATCGTGTTTCCAGGCACATAATTCACTAAAAGACTAGTTTGCAATAAAATATTATATAATATGATTTTACCTGTTTTGTATTGTATTTTTGCCTACTGTAAATACGAATCTGTTTTTTTAAATTTGGTTATAATTCTGGAAAAAATAGCATTCAAGATGCGAAAATAATAATTTAGAGGATTTTTGCATTATTATAATACCGGCAGAATTACGTTTTTTTTTATTTTGCAATGCAATTACAATTATAAATCTATCTTTTTTTAGTTTTTTTATATTTAAATTAATTTTCTGCACATATAAATGAGCTAGAGCAGCCAGAAAGAAAGAGAGAAAGAGGAAACTAAAGAGCAAGTGAGATAGAAGTTTAGATGGCGTTACTGGGTAATAAGGGTGCCGTTCCATTAAGCACGGATCGGAATGACGGATCGGGTATCTCACTAGAATTGAGCATTCCGTTCCAGTTCCGTTCCGTGACAGTTTTCTCTATACCCGTCCCATTTAGCAAAAACGGAACGGAATGTCGCGTCGATCGTTGGTAAATATGCTTGATTCATCGATATTTCGTTATTTTGAGCAGTTGAAGCAATAACATACATATAATTTGTGCAATTATCTTGCTGATAATATTGTTGTGAGTTCTCTAAAATATTGAATTGTAACGGTAAAATATATTTTGTAACTAGATTCCTTTCCGTTTTTGCTGAATGGGACGGGTAGAGAAAACTGTCACGGAACGGAACTGGAACGGAATGCTCAATTCTAGTGAGATACCCGATCCGTCATTCCGATCCGTGCTTAATGGGACGGCACCCTTTACTCATTTCGCGCACTTCATTTTTGCCAACACTGACATCAAAGGTGCCGACAGAGAGTTGCCCTACTGGATATACTCTGGTCAAGTTTATGGTCCACAATGAGCATATTCGGCACCCGTCTTGACGATTGCTTTTTCATACCCAATTATTTGTGCAAAATTGAAATCACCAATGTACCATGTGATATATCTGTAACCTCAACCAGAGCTCGCGCACTTTCACTCGTCGATCAGTCAAAATAATATCATGGACTTTATTGATGATTTCTGGCGTAGCAACCTCAATTGGACGTCACGAACAAGGTGCATCACATGTGGAGGTACTACCAGATTTAAATTTATTCACCCAATTGTATACAGTCGCAAACGCTGGTGCAGATGTGCTATGAATATTATCCAACTCGGCTTTGATTTCTTTTGGCGTTAAACCTTTCATATATAGATATTTGATCACTGCACGAAATTTGTTTTTTTCCATTTTGTAAAAAATACAAAGGTTGTTCGCTTTAATCGTCTATAGAAATGGAACCTCTCGATGAATACCGCTTAAAATTTGACAGTAATCAGCTGAAAGATGCTACTTGTCAAAAAGTAATGTGACATGGCACTGCGAGTGCCCTTTGACAGATTTTTTAAGAACTTATTGACTTGCCCTCGTACGATGGTGGTGTGTCTTATAACTAAGTGCACACCATCCTTGTTTAGTATAATTAAAGATGTAATAAGAAAATGAGCTGCTTTACATTAGAGTGTTCTTTTTTGTTAAAATTGTGGTAGGGGTAGGACATAATAGAACAATTTGGTAAACCGTATCTTATTCAATACCTAAAAACTATAGGAAATAGTTACGTTCGTTCAAGCAATAATCCCAAAGTGTAAATTTATGGTCAGGCTGGTGTAATAAACATATTGATAACTTATATTCTCTAGTGCGTAATAGTATTGACACATCAATGTAATTCATACGCAATTGTGTTTGCATAATTTTGCGGAAGATAAATGATGTGAGTGAACATTACAAATAGCAAAATAGACAATCAATTTTCACGCTAAAAACATAGCAATTTCTCTCTAGTATATAATGTTAATCAATGACAAATGAAGTTTCGCGTATAGCATAACTTACTAATCTGAAGGAACACCAATCCAATCTGAACTCAGCCTCTCGGAAAAGTATCTCTACGCTGGTTCTCTTGAAATCTCTGGGGCACAATGGCATTTTCCATAACGGCTTGACTTCCTCCTGCAATTCGTTCAATTCCTGCGAGAACGGTACAGTACTACCCAGTCTCACGACGACTCTGAATAAAAGGATATTTCTTTTTAGCGAAGAGAAAAATTCAGAGAAGTATAATTTGCAACGAGATATAAAATATATTGATGTACGCTGAGTCAAGGATCAAGGAAGATTCACTCGAGAAAAAGCCATCGCTCGCGACATTACAAAGAAAACCTGTACTCTACTATCGAGCAGATCATATCGCAATATCCATGTCACACGGTATTTGCGTCATTCTCGTCAAGGATTCTTTTAAGTAACGCGCGTGGGATTTTTGCCCGTATGAGCGTGCATTAACAATAAACAGCAGTTAATGATTGCCTCGTAAATTGTTGACACTGTACCCTCGATGTAGGTCAATATCGCTATTGCATTCGGAAGGCTATTATTAATTGCCTTTCTTTTGCTAACGCGAATGCTTTATTTCAAACATTATCTCTATTCCAGTACTATATATTTTAATTCTTTAGAGAATACTTATTTTTTCGCGCTTGAATTATAATTCTGTTTGCACAGATTATATCTTAATGATACTTTCCAAACAAAACGTTTTTTACGAAAACGTCAGAGTAACATAAAAATAAATTATTATTAATTGTAAAGTGACTTTTACTATTTTAATGTCTTTTTAATGATGATTTATCTTCATTCTGCTTGGATTTAAGAGTATATCAGTTTTATAATCTCTACAAAAATTAAATGACTGCAATTAATTGGAAATTTATACTTTCCATAAAAACGAATGTTATATATATGCATATACAGGGTGTTCATTTGAAAACTTTCCAGCTGATTATCTCGAAAAATATAAAAGATACAAAAAAAGTCAAAACACGTATTCCATGATTTCGAGGAGGAAAAAGAATGGCATTTTTAATTTTTTATTTGGAGGGCGTTTTCAACGTAATTTGAAGATCAAATTAATTTTTTTAAATGAAAATGTATATTTTTTATTACAGGATCTTACTATTATCTAAGTAAAAAAACAAGTAACTTCTGCAGGAAACATTTTTTTATTTGACCACTATTTTAGGAGGCATTTAAGAAAATAGCAAAGTATAGTTACTGCATAAAATTTCATCATTTATTATAACAAATGTTTAAAATGTTCTCCGTTATTTGCTAAACAATAATAAAGGCGATTCTGGAATTCTGAATGAACATTTTGGAAAGTATTTGCTAGAATAGCTCTACATTCCTGTATAATTCTTTGACGTAAATCGTTGATATTTTCCGGTGGAGTTTTATAAACAACGGATTTTAAATGTCCCCATAAGAAAAAATCAAGCTTTTGTTAGATCAGAAGATCTTGGTGGTCATTCGATGGCTCCTCTTCTACCAATCCATCTCTATGGGAATCAATTGTTTAAAGCTTTTGTTAGATCAGGAGATCTTGGTGGTCATTCGATGGCTCCTCTTCTACCAATCCATCTCTATGGGAATCAATTGTTTAGCCACTGTCGAATTGGTAACACATAATGTGGGGGAGCATCATCTTATTGGAAGCACAAAAGTTCCTCATTTAACAACAATTCGCCATTTTCATCTTTTTGATTTTCAAGATTTTCAGTTATAAGTGCATCAATAACGTTGTCTAGTAAATTTAAGTAAAGGTTGCCATTCAGTTCGACTCAAAAACTCCACCAGAAAATATCAACGATTTACGTCAAAAAATTGTACAGGAATGTAGAGCTATTCCAGCAAATACTTTCCAAATGTTCATTCAGAGTTCCAGAATCGCCTTTATTATTGTTTAGCAAACAACGGAGAACATTTTAAACATTTGTTATAATAAATGATGATATTTTATACAGTAACTATGTCTTACTATTTTCTTAAATATCTTCTAAAATAGTGATCGAATAAAAAAATGTTTCCTACAGAAGTTATGTGTTTTTTTATGTAGAATAAAATCCTGTAATAAAAAATATACATTTCTATTTAAAAAAATTAATTTGACCTTGAAATTACGTTGAAAACGCCCTCCAAATAAAAAATTGAGAGTACCATTCTCTTTCCCTCTCGAAATCATGGAATATGAAATCATGGTGTTTTAACTTTTTTTTGTATCTTTTATATTTTTCGAGATAATCAGCTGGAAAGTTTTCAAATAAACACCCTGTATATATATATATATATATATAAACTTTAAAATTAACTTTTATTTGTATTTTATTAAGCTTCTTTTCTGTTCGAAAAAAGAATTTTTTTTCATATCTGCGAACTGAAGAGAAATATACTGTTTAGATAAAAATTTAAATTATTGTTTTTAATTTTAAAACTGTATCTCCAAATAATATTCATATCATAATTTCATTTGCAATGAATATGTTATGCTATTTGCGTATTCGAGAATTCACGTTGATAATCCAGAGTTATTAGACAAAACCCAATATTCGTAGGATCCAATGTCGTGACGCCCAATCAAATTCCGATCGCGGACTCTCAGTTTTCACTGATATACAACAGTGATATGATGTACTGATACGTATCTAAGGTCGAAGTGGCTTCTAAGACGCGGCCTTATCATCCGTGGAAACAAACTTCCACCAATCAGTCAGTTAAGTGTTCCGAGAGCGTGACGACATCACATTTACGTTGGAAATAATTGCCGTTAGCAAACTGTTGGTGTCATCGTACTTCATACGCGACGCAATAAGTCTAAAAGTAACAACTAGACAGTATACAGTACGTAAGATCGGTCAGCGTGTATATGTATAATCAATTTATTTTAGTCATGTCGCTCTCTCGTTTTGCGATCGTGGGCGCGATTTCGAGTTCTTGTTCCGTTGCACGATTATATAATTCTCAGAAAATCAGTGTCGAATAACTTCTGAGAAATCTTGAGAATAAAATACTTAGAGAAACGAAAGACTGGACAAGAATCCTTTTCTGAGAAGTTCAGATGTTCGGTTTATTCTGTCTATCCAAGTAGATTATCGCGACATCGAGAGTATTTCTGATATCTTTACGGTATCAATCATTACTTACTTAGGCCTGATTAAACTTACTGTTTCTTCTTTTAATTCTAAGAATTTATATGCTTATATTATAATTAGAAAAAGATAAAGAGTAAATTAAACCGAGATATTAAATATTAAAATAAATTGTTATTGAGAGCCAACACAGGATGAAAGTGCGTAATAAAATTTATTTAATTACAAAATTGCATACGTTTCGACCTTAGTCCAGAGATATTAAAGTTAATCTTACTACATTAGTGGAACCAGACCTTATGTTTGTTTTTCTATTAATATATGATAGATTAATTTTAATCTTGTTTTAATTTACTTTTAGAATTAGAAATCTCACTGTGGGATTAATCGCCCCCACTTGTCTCGTTATAGCAATTTCGATCTTTCGTTCGATCGTATATTTAAGCCTTCGACGTTGAATACAAAATACGATGACAATACATACATAGTTATTAACGTATTAAAGTGAGAAATGCGTGTTACGTCGAGAAAAGGTAACTTTACAATTATCCAAATTTGTTGAATGCGCAGCAATATCAGAATAATATCGGTTATCATTCATAGGAACGACCTGTAATTTTATCATTAATATCATTGCGGTTTCGTCACATTTTTTTTCGACAATACACCATAATGGTGACAAACATGATACGTTAGCTAATGAAACGGGAATTCATTCACGTTACAGAAGTGATCCCGCTGCGAAAAGTTTCAGCAGGCGAGGAACAAAAGTTTGCTATTCGGATGATTGTGTCAATCATTACACAAAAAGCAAAGCATGTGTCACAAAAAAAGAATAATAGGAAAAGAGAAATTCTTGCAATTCTTTTTATTCTTAAATGTCTTATTATATGCAACTTGTGAATACAACATTGGATAATCTTAGTCATGTTATACATATTTACAAGTCATGTGTATGTATATTCATGTGTATGTATATTATTTTTATATTTGACATGAAATTTTTTCAAAGCAAAGATATCTTTCCTGAAGAATAGCTGATTTGTAAAAAAAAAATTGACTCACATGTCGTTTAATAATGAACGATTTGATTTTATTTCAATCGCACGTAATGAATTAAATATGATGAATCAGAAAATCGAAAACAACGAATATAATCTGTCGACATAAAACAGCAAATTAAAATATATATAAATATTAAATTAAAATATATAAAAATATTAAAAAAATAAAACACAGACACTTATTCAATATTATTAGTAATCAATCTTGTTCTCTGATAAGATAAAAACTATTGTTTTCAATCTCGTGTCTGGAAAGTATTTAAGTATGACTTTGAACTGCTTCAAAACAAATCGATATCTCATTATGAAACTATAATACGTATTATTATAAAAAAATATTAATAAAAAGAGCAATGAGCCAAGGTAAAATACAAATGCAAAAACAACAAACATATAAAACTGTTAAAAATTAAAATAAAAAAAGTTCGTTCGGTAACCTCTTACCTATTGAATACGTAAACTCTTACCTATTAAATACGTAACCTCTTACCTATTAAATAATTTTTCAAATTTTTAGTTTTTATGCGGCTAAAACTTGTTGGAGGTTACTCAGGGTCATGACCTTGACAACATATGTCAAGGTCAAGGTCATTGAAGGTGGCTCCCCTAAAGTGAACAATTACCTTATTTTATATTGTCACTGATGATGGTCCAGAGTAAAGGACCGAAACGTTCCGACTCCGAATTGTATGAATCTAAATGTAAGATTTTTGTATTTTCCACGCTTCGTTAACAGCGTATGACTCTGTACAGCCATTTATATTCGTTTAATTTTGATGTTTTTTCAAACTGTAAAGAGTCTTTAATTCAATTTAAACTTACTTCATTTTATTTATTTATTGAAAGAGTCTCTAGTTGCAGGACGTCAACAGCGCCATCAACACGGAACAGAGTGTCGTAACACATAATCAATGATGCGAATATCTATTTACAGCACGCGATCAGTGCCACCGAAGGCGCTGATCGCGTGCTGCAAGCCGGTCGGAATTCGTATCTTTGGTTACGTGTGACTCGTATTATGTCTGACACTTAACTTTAAAAAAATTAATAAAAAGTTATTAGTTACCGATAAAATGTAACTAAATAAAGTTAAAAAATTAGGAGTCTAAAATGTAACTAAGTTAATTTAAAATTAATTAACTTTAACTTAACTTTTAACGTTTTAATTTAGTAGTACCACCCCTGGCAATAAGTATTTAAAAAATTGGTAATTTAACTTGTGTTGCTGCTATAGTTTATTAATTTGCGTTGTAAGTCTGAAAAAATTTCGGCGCGCATTTAAGGATCTACATACGTAGTATATAAACTCACACGAAAATTATAATAGAAGCATTCAATATCCAACTTAACCGTAAATGACTTATTCTCATCGGTATTTATAAATTAAATATATCCAAATAAGAGATTCGTATTATCTCGTTTTTCTCATCAAGCATATGAACGATAGCGTAATGTAGGAAATATAATAGCAAAATATTTAAGTATAAAAATAACCGTCGAATTCACATCTCTCTGTTTGCGGTTGATCAAACGATTAGTACGTCAGCGATATCGGAGAAATTGTATAATCTCGTCGTGACATGGCATTTATTTTCATCTCGATTTTCGTTCTCTTTACCACATTAATAAATTCTATCAAATTTTGTATCTATTTATAACTTTTAACTTATATTAATTGTATAATCGAGAAAGAATTAATTCATTTAAAAAATATAAATCATAGCTTATATTATTTTCTAATAATAATATATTAGGAATGTGCATTAATTTTAAAGGATTTTCAAGAGATGGCGTAACTAGTACTATATCGCATCGGGCTATATTGTTGCAACCTTCATGTCAAAGCATCATGTGGCTTTACTTTTCATATATGTCATTTTGCCGAAGTCTAAGGGTGCCGTCCCATTAAGCACGGATCGGAATGACGGATCGGGTATCTCACTAGAATTGAGCATTCCGTTCCAGTTCCGTTCCGTGACAGTTTTCTCTACCCGTCCCATTTAGCAAAAACGGAACGGAATGTCGCGTCGATCGTTGATAAATATGCTTGATTCATCGATATTTCGCTATTTTGAGCAGTTGAAGCAATAATATACATATAATTTGTGCAATTATTTTGCTGACAATATTGTTGTGAGTTCTCTAAAATATTGAATTGTAACGGTAAAATATATTTTGTAACTAGATTCCTTTCCGTTTATGCTGAATGGGACGGGGAGAGAAAACTGTCACGGAACGGAACTGGAACGGAATGCTCAATTCTAGTGAGATACCCGATCCGTCTTTCCGATCCGTGCTTAATGGGACGGCACCCTAATCAACATTGTTTTTTTGAGCATTGAATATGTCGAATTTTGTACCAACAAAACGCAATTTGCGAAAAGCTTTGCTTTTTTGCTTCTATTTGAAGAAAAGTGCTGCTGAAAGTCAACGAATGCTATCGGAAGCTTATGGTGATCATACTCCATCGATTTCAACACGTTAGCATCTCATCTTTAAAAACGTTTTTCTTTGCACGTAATTCGACAGAACTATTGACGAAACCGATCTAGAACTGTAGAACTATCGTGGATGCGAGCAGAACTGATGTCATTTCTTGCGATGCTAATATATGATATGCCAACTTCATAGACGTTATTATGAGTTGCTTCAACCTAGCGAAACCATTACTGGGGACGCTACTAACAACAATTGATGCAACTGAGCTGAGCATTGAAGCAAAAACGACCAGATTCTGCGAAAAGACATGACAAAGTGAATTTCCAGCACGACAACGCTCGGCCACATGTTGCGAAACCGGTCAAGGAAACATCAGAAATGCTTAACTGGGATGTCCTAACACTCCCCGTATTCTTCAGATATTGCTTCTTCACATTACCACCAATTCGATCAATGACTCATGACCTGTCTGAGCAGCGTTTTCATTCTTATAAAAATAAAAAAATGTGTCAACTCGTGGATAACCTCAAAAGATGTGTCGTTCTTTCGACGTGGAATCCACCTATTATCAGAAATATCGGAAAAAGTAGTGGCTAACAACGTTGAACAATATTTGAACGATCAATTTGTAACTATTTTTTCACAAATAAAGCCGTATTTTTACCAACAAATCTTTTAAAATTAATGCATACTCCCAATATATATATAAATAAAATGTATGAATTATATTTTTTTAATATTTTTTTATATATTATACAACACAGCTTATGAATGCGTTTAGCAAAAAAAGTAGCTTTGCAATTAAGTTGTAAATGTCTGGTCCTTGTCTTTAGTTTCTTTTGATGTTATTTTTGTTTTCTACTTAATGCAGAGGGGTGCCTTCCGAATGAACGTCCAGACGACAACTTTTCGTCCAAAACTGTTCCGTTTACCAAGATGTGACGTCATAACCGCATTCTGTTTTACAATTTGCAAACGCCCGGACGACAACTTTTCATCGCGCTCGAGACTCCGCCGAGAAACGTCTCGCATGCGCAGAACGACATAATGTAATAAAACGTGATGATGAAATATATGTAGAAGTGTGTTGTAGGTTAGATTAGGTTATATTCCATCAGTTTTATATATTTAAATATATAAAACGTAGGTAAATGTGTCGATGAGGGGACCCCCCCTCCAATGACTTTGACCTTGACATATGTTGTCAAGGTCATGACCCTGAGTAACCTCCAACAGGTTTTAGCCGTCGCTCGTCCTTCGTTAAAAAGTTATTAACAATCATATTTTTAAAATAAACGTATTATTTCTGCTATACATGTATGATATGAAGTACT